ATTCATTTTCTAGCCGGGTATTCGATGATCATATCTGCATGTATCATTTGAAAATAAACAAGTATTTATAATTGAATTGCAGTGCTCAAAGTTCATCAGTGTGTGCCTTACAAGAGCTGAGGCTGATCCATTGTCGAATCATCAGTTGTTGTTGCGTCTGCTGCTGTTCGTCAAGCCGACAACTCAGTTTGACAGTTTTATGACCATAAATGACATTTTGTTAATGTTGTAGTCATTCTGCCACGCCCATTTTATGCTGTGATACACCCTCGTTGCTTCTGGCAGTCATTTTATTGCATTAAAGTGTCAATTACCCAGAGACGTGAAGTGAGTTTCTTCCCAAATTCGAATAAATATCTATGTGTGCCCATACTTGAATTATAAAGAGCTCGAAGGCAGTAGCAGCAAACCACAATGCCAAGAATTGTAATGAGAGCAATTGGTCTATTTAATTTTGTTGTTGTTTTTTTTTTGTTGTGGATGTTGGTCATTGATATTGTGCTTCCCTTTTTTGTCGTATATTATTTTTTACCTGCTGCTGTTACTGTTATCGGCAGTGAAAGAAAGAGAAAGTGGCCGAGGCCAGTTTTTGGTATTTATTTTGTTGTTATTGTATTTACTTATTCGAATTGACTGCACTGTGCATGTGTGCGAGAGGAGGCAAAGAATGTCAATTTCTGGCCGTAATGTTCATGCGGACTTTTGCTTTTCTTTGAAGCTGTGAAACAAGCCCCACATTAACTCAGTCACAACACTATACACACACACACACACACACACACACACACACACATAGACTGTGACACATACAGCTGCATATAAAGTAACACGTTCGTCTGCAGCTTTCCCTTCCTGTGCGAGAGTCGCTCGAGATGCTTCCACTTCTACTTGGCTCGTCGTCTCTGCATTTATTTTATATGTGCGAGTGTATGTGTTATATTTTTTCGATAGGCTTGATTCATTTTTTAGTTGATTTTATATTTACATATCTTTTATTGGATATCGGCCGTGGCAAAAAGCATGAAAGTAAAAATGGGTATAATTTAATGACGTCGCTGACAACTTTTTCTTTTTGTAGAACGATTCAAATAAATTAATGTAAGAAATGCTTCTTGTGGTTTGTAGACTTTCGCTAATTGAAAGCCATAAGACAAGCTGGTTGCTATGAGCTTTGAAGTTCTCTCTGCATATTCATTGCAATGCGACACAATTAAATCGGACAGATATAGAGATGGGCATGGTCAGGTAATAGCCCAACCCAAAAGACTTCGGGCCAAGCGCACAAATTTAGAAAACTTTTTGAGGGCACTTTCATTTACCATTTTTATTATTTTTTTTTTGTTGTTTTTGTTTTATTTTGCGCCGGTGCGTATTGAAATTGCTTGGCTCGGTTCGGCTTTCGTTCGATGGATGCGCTGCTCATTGAATGCGAAATGAGTGCCACAAAAGTAAAGGAAGCCACTTGGAACTTGGGGCTCGAATATTGAAGCTTTAAGCTTGCCACTTCGAACTGTCTTAACGGTCAACAGAAGTGCCGTCCGTCGTCGTTGTCGTTATCGTTGAGGATTGTACGTGAATGAATTCATCAAGAAACAACAACAGCTTGTACACTGGCAATGCACAGCATGAAAAATTGAATATAATGGGCAAATGAAATTCAATAGCAACAACAAATTGAAGCCCAATCCCAAAACCCAATATAAATCCACATCGACAATTTCTGCGGTTTGGCTTAGACGAACATATTTGAGTTTTCAACAAAATGAAATTGTTCGCACGCATTTTGCATATAATCAGGCAACAGCAGCAACACCAGCAACACAAGCAGCGACTAACTAAAAATCGATTAGTTGGCAGCCACACGCATTGGATGGCAGGTAACCACTCTTATTTTATTGACAATTGCTCCCAGCCCAACTGGCGCATCCAGTCCAACAGCTGCCCTGCTAATTATTCTGGGCACAGAGCGACGCTTTCATGCATAATCCCACCTTAAAACTACAACAATAGCAAATATAACACACGTGCAGGCAGATTAGGCATACTTAGGTATTTGTATTTCACTTTTTTCTGTGCGTTATTCGAAGCCGAAAGAAAAGCGAAACTTTTTCGAGACGTTGAGTTGCCAAGAAAAACGGTTAGTAATCAAATAATTTCTAGCATTTAATTGTCGACGTCAATCTGATGTGTCTGGCTGTTAATAAGAAAAAAAAACCAACAGCAAGAGAGGGCCAAGATATTGAATAGCTTAAACCAAACAGACACGAAAGTAATCATGAGCGCTACACGAACAAAGTCGACAGAAACCAACAATTGGATTTTGGTTTGGCTGGCAGTTCACCGCTAATTGATAGTCGGCTTGTTAGTCTGGATAATTTAATATATCTCTGGAAGATATAATTAATTCTAAAGACTTAGGCAATTATTATTAATATTGGGTGTCAAATATTATTTTATTATTCATTTATTTAATAATTGATACAGAAAGAAAATTTTACAATAATCTTTTTAATTTTATGCGAATAAGTAAAGGAATAATCCTGATTTAATAATATAAATGTCTGAAATATTTAATGGGTACACGATATTTAAATAGCCTTATACACATACATACATAATCATAAATTTTAAAGCCTCTGAAGTGCTAAGTCTTAAGATTTTTAATAACCACTTGAAAAATAAGCAATCAACAAACCCCAAACAACAAAGCCGAAAATTAACTTATATACCTCCAGAAAAAAAGTTTGTTGTAGCTGCAAAAACTAATCAGCCCCAAAAGTCTGCGTTTTCATGAAAGTTGAGCAAATTAATTAGTCAAATGGAACAACGTCTCTGAGTTGGACTCAAAGGCCGACGGTTTCTCAGCACGCCCCGTTGATTTGTTGCTGAAAATGTTTTACAAAGCCAAATAGCAAAAGACATTTTGATTAGGAGCAACTAAGTTTAAAAATGACTGGTTGTTTGGGTGGGCAGTTGGGCGCAACGGATAATTGTTTTGTGTTTATCAAGTTTTTTGCCACCTGAGTGGCATTCCCAAAGAAAACGTCAAAATGTATTAAGTCGTAAAAATGTTTAATTATACGGTGTTTAAAACAATGATCCTGCCCCCAACGCCTCAATCGCTTTATAATAGTTGAAGTTTCGCCAAGCGAAAATTTGTTACTTTGAATGAAAGTTTTTATTTATTATTTGTCTGTTGCTGACGTTAGTCGGAGCACTTCAATGATTTTGTTTTTTTTCTTTTGGCGAGTTCTGTTGTTGTTTTTCGGCACATTACATAAAATTTCGTAACATTCTGCGGCAAAAGACTGAATGCGTCTGCAAGTTGAGTTAAGTTTTTAAGTTGAGAAACTCCACTGACCTGTTAACTGAAATGCTTTGCAAAGACTTGCATACTTGCCCGCTGTCTCAATAACAGCAGTAACAAGAGCAACAATAACAATAACAACAACAACAACAACAAAAGCTGCGACGACGACGACGACGACGACGACAGCAAGTTGCGAAGAAAGTTATAGACAGACCAAGCTTTGGGCTGCAGTAAAAACAACTTTTGCCCAACTAGTACAACTACAACCACAATAACAACAGCAACTACAACAAGAGGCAACTATAAACGAGTAGAACACGTTTTACTGTTGGATACGCTGACTGCGCTGCCGGCGAAACTGTTGTCGCGTATTGTTGAGTATGTGTATGTGTATGTGTGTGCGTGTATGTGTGTGTGTGTGTGCGTGTGTGTGGGTGTGTGTGCGTATGCGTGTGTGGGAAAGCTTTGACTTTGACAGTCAGCTCGCTGACTGTCCATTTTCCTTGGTCCACTGTGTCCCGGACATTGAAAATGAAATGCAAGTAACTTAATTACATTACAGCTTGTCAGAGATGTGAGTAACTTTTATCGAAATGTTTTTCGTTTCATCTTTTATTGTATACACAAATTAAAAATCACCATTACTGCCCTGTGGCAAAATAGTCCATCTAAACATCATAAATATAGTAACACTTGAATTTGTAATGAAACTTAAATGAATCCAGTCTGCAAGGGTATTTATTCTTCGGCATGACTTCGTTTGCCGTTCTTATTCGTTTCGTATTAGTCTAATATAAAAGTTGACTGCTCGATGGCTAACGATTTCACTTTAATGTGGTTGTTTTGCCACAAGATTTCGGAAATTAGCACTTCTCATCTGCCTGACTCGCGAAGCGCGAAAAAGCTCATCAATAAAATTTGCACATATCTACATACTTTAAGCATATATTATATATTAGTCATTCCATATTTGTCAAGCATAAACTCATTGAGCAGGCCAAAAGGTATGTCCGGAATGGGGTTAGGGTGCGTCACTCAAAATTCAGAAACAATCGACTGAATATTTACAGAAATTATTGATTTTTTATTTCGGATATAGTAATAAAAATGTGATGGATTCATATTAAATCATCACATTATCAATATTATGAAATAAAGGCGAGCCAATAAAATGATTCAATAAATGTCATTAAATGGGTCATTAAATTTACTGCAATTAAAAATACATTGTTAAAACTTAAATAAATCTAAAATCACACCTGATATAAACTTGATACCCAACATGCTACAAATGAAGTGAAGCTTAAGCCTGTTTTGTCGCTAACTGTAATAACCAGACGCTTACTGTGCCAAATACTTTCCCATAGGAACCGCCCATAAAGCGCACAGCTCAAGTCCAAAAAAGATTGAAAATCAAGTTGGTCAAGACATAGAGAGAGAGAGAGAGAGAGAGAGAGATAGAGAGAGAGACACTCAGAGATAGAGAGGCTATCAGCAGAGAACGCGAAGAAAGCAATGTAAATGAATTGTGGGGGAACGGATCGGTTTCTTCACGGTGTCGTCTACAACTATGCTGGTAACTGAAGATTCCAGCCACGATCAGTTGCAGACGGTCAGTCGTGCGAGACAGTTGAGTGCGCGGCGGTGTGAAAATTACCAACGACGAGGCTCGACAGCATAATATAAGCAACCAGAACCACAATCACAAACCAAAAACTCCGCCAGCGAGAAACAGGTAAAAAGCAAGCGTTGAAAAAAGAAAGTCAGTCAAGAATCGCATGGGGCTAAAAAGCATACGAGAGAAGCTTAACCAGCGACAGTCTTCAGCGGGTACTCGAGGAGTGAGCAACGGTTACTTAAACTCAAATTGAAATCGGTTATCGTAACAAACAGAAAAAAAAAAAAAAAAAAACTAATCAAAACCAAAAGAAAAGAAAGAAAATAATAATAAATACAAATTTACGGTGTGTGAAAGCAAGAAACTAAAACAGAACAATATACAATTATTATCATCGTTTACCATTATCATAACCAAAGGGCAGCTCAAGGTTAGCATTGGATTAACAGTGTTAAAATCTGAGGATTATCGTAACATCGAATCGTGTGTGTGCCATGACTATGCCAAGTCCAAGCAATTCGCATGCAAAGCGATTACCCCAACACAAAACCCACCCCCGAATTGCTGATGACCCACAAACAGTTCACAAAACGGGAGATAGAAAATAGCCTTGGCAGCGTCTTGGCCAAGAACTTTTAATTGATTTTGCAGAGCTGAGAAAAACCAAAGTCGACACAAACTTGGACTCGGACCCGGACTCTTAACTGGCCTGGGTCATAAATTGTATCTGCACAGCAATTTAGAGCCATCCCCGGAATTTTTTTATGTGCTTTGCTCCAGATACAAGCCACACAACCCAACTCTGCTCCAATTTCATATGTGCTCTGTGGTCAGCCATCGAAGCAATAGAAAGAGCAGCAGTTGCCTCGCTGAGTAATCTCTTATGCCTTCTCACAGATTTCTTCTTACAAACTGACCCACATACGAGCTAGTGGCTAATTTAAGTGTTTCCTGGCATCGCAGTTATAGTTTACGCTGTTTACATTGCCTCTGCACTTTGCTGCCAAAACAAAACATTCTCAAGTGTTGTTCCAAATAGTCTCAGTCTCAGCATCAACACCAACAACGCCAACATCAACAGCATACATGCACTTAGTCCAAGTAGAAGCTATTAACAGAGAAATATTCGACATACACATTGAAGTTTTTGTTTCTTTTTTTTTTTCGAAATTTGAGTGGACCAGACAGCAAACCCACATACCCCAATCCACATACCCCAAAAAGTTGCCACCATTTTTTGCTGTTGCTGTTGTGTACTTAGTTTATGACAAGAAATGTAAAAGTTTACTCAGTTTCAAAGATAGAAAAAAGGCTAAAGGAATGGTCCTCTTGAGGATATTCGACTCTGAAATACCCTACTCTTGAGTGTATACAAAAAGGAGTGATAAGATTGGCATAATTTTGGCAGATGATGATGATGAGTTGGACAAATAATTATTAATGGATTAACGAACACATTTATGTTTTATATTCAAACTGTATCAAGTCATGGTTTTCCATCAGCTCCGGCTAGATTATAGAGTATTATCAAAAAACATGACTAGACCAAGTGCATTAGTTGGCTGAGATGCCAGGCAAGGAGTTAGTGCGTGTGATGCAGTGTTGTTCTGCCAGGTGGCTCCGATGCGACGATAACAGCTCTTAGCTCGTGCGGCATGCAAGTTCATGCAGAAAGTGAGCGAGATGAATGAATATGTTGTCAGATTGGGAGACCGAGAGGGAAAATGTTGTAGCCTGGCGTGAATGCTGCTGCGGCTGCAGGTGGTTCAGCATGGGGCGTGTCACCTCAAGCGGCACGTGTAGAGATTATTTGTTTTTTCTTCTTCACTTCTTTTGTCATTATCTCGGAAAATTAACCGCAACAGCCACAGCAGAAGCAGCAGTAGCAGCAGCAGCAGCAGCAGCCGGCAAGACAATATCGCCCCGCCCAGCCATATATGAGGCAAGTTTAAAACAAAGACAAAGACTCACAGTTGCGGGAATGGCGATGCTAACAGGCTGATATGTAAATCCCCAGGCACTTTTGTGGGCGCTTACGCGTGGCCTTTTGTACGGCCAGCATATTTATTGATATGACGCTGATATGGCAACGTAAACGCAGATAGGACGAGGCAGCAGCCGCAGGCAGCCGCGATAGGGATCAAGTGGTGGAGTGCGTTGGTGGTGGAGAATCTTCGGCTTCAATAACCCCCCTTATGTGGGGTGTGTGTGCGAGGGGCTTAAATAATTTTGCTGGCTGTCATGCAAGTGCATAGCACACACTCCAGCAATGCTCCATCTCCTCCACCTCCTCCACCACGTCTGCCACTCGCATGAATATTAATGTAAAATGCTCACACGGTTAGTTGCATTTTTCTATGGTGCATTAAAATATAGTGGGAGCAGCGTTCCATATGAGTTAGTGCCTACAATAGTGAACAGCAGCAAAAAACCAGAACCAACTGGTCGGATACGAGGAGAGCGACAGGAGAAGGGAAGCGGAGTGGCAGGGGGGGATGGGTATTTTATGCTTGTCAAAAGTTTTCCCATTGCAGTGCGGCTGTTGTTGGTGCTTGTTCTTGCTTGTTATAGAATGATGCGTAAAATGCTTGAAGTTAGGTGAGAAAATGGAAGAATATTGAGCAGCTTGAGGAGTATGCCACGCGATGGCAGGGGGGCAAGACGCATGCTTGCTGGCAAAGTAAATGCAATTTCGTAGACTTCAATAACCAGAGTTTATAAGTACCCAACTGAGGACGCCGTAGTAAAAGCGTCAACATTTACAGTGGGCGTCAACTGTGAAGTGCACTCCACAAAAAATTACACACATATCTGTTGAGTACTGGTTCTAAAGTATCTCACATGAGAATCAATTGCTGTAGAATTGAAGCAAATATAAAGCAACAATCAATTGGCATCACACAATATTGGTAAAATCTCAGTTCATTGTCGCTTAAGAGAAATGTTTTCGAAATGTTGACCCAAGGCATTTATAGTCAAATTAATATTCAATTTGTTGCACTGTCGCACCTGCCCTTCGCGAATAGATGGTTGTTGCTAAGCACTGCGAGGATTGTGCCTGCCAAGCAGGTGATATGTCATCTTTGCTTGAGTGCCACGCCCAGAAATGTCACTTTCTCTCCCACTGCCACTGCTACAGGCAGTGCAGTACCTGGGGCTTCCGATTTTAATAAGCGCTGCTTGAGAGTGTACATCGTAAAAGTTTTAATTAAGCAGAGCTTCGCGGCGACGAGTCTTTAGTCTCATCCACAAGGCAACCGCGTGGCAGGAGAAGACTTGGACGCCGTTAAACTGCGTCGTCTTTGAGGTTATCAGGCAGACTATCGCCAAGCCGGCGAGAGGCCCTTTTCAACCAGAACCACTGGCACTGCAATGTTGAGCGACTGTTTTGGGCTGGCCAGTAGGTCACTGGGTTTTCACTTTGGCTTATGGCTAGCGACGTTGCTTATCAGCGCTAAGTTGAGCTCGATTTTTAAAGCGTTTTTTTTCTTTCAATAAGTGGCCGGACAGGTAGCCAACAAAAACAACAACAACAACAATAATAACAACAACAGCTACAGTATTGAACAAATGGCTGTGGCAATGCTGCCGCAGAAAACTTGTTCGTGGCAGCGAAGTCGACGTCGACGCAGACGTTGACGTCGCTTTCACTTGGGGTAGCCGCACTTGACAGTGCGACAATGGCAACACCAACAACAACACCAAACAACAGCTACAACAACAACAACAACAGAAGCATTAAGAGCCACAGCAAATATAGCAACAGCAACAATTGTTGCGGTTGTTTGCTACAGCCATTGGCTGTTGGCCATGCTGATTGTCATGGCTAAAAAGCCAACAGCAATCGCAGTAGTCTACAAGAAAACCAACAACAAAGTAATGCCAGAATGGAAAGTTAAGGATGTTCATGTGGATGCCACAAATACCCTAACCTATAAAGGACTCTCTACTTTGCTCGGCCCACCACTAATCCAATGTAAATTTTCTTACTCAGCAAATATTTTGATAGAAATTAATCCAGTTTAAATTACAACCTAAAATTTGTATTACATTTTTTGAAATGCGATTAAAGTAACCAGCAGATGAGCTGGCAAATGTGAGACAAAAGCTGATATGCTGTCACTTAATAAACAATACACTAATTTTTGTCTGTCTTTGTGTCTTTACCTGCCACTGTTGTGGTGTTGGTGGCGGCGGCAGTGGCAACTGGAACGGCGTCAAATGGCGCCGGCAGCATTATTGTTGTTGTTGTTGCAGCTTCTGTTGTTTCTCCTACTGCTGTTGTGTGTCAAGTGCCAACAAAATGGACATGTGGACACCGCCCGGCGGCAACTTTGAGTCGCAGTTCAAAAACATGTTTACACTTACACACACACCGAGACACACACAGACACACACAGACACACACAGACACACACACACACACACAGACACACACAGACACACACACACACACACAGACAGACGCACACACACACAGACAGACGCACACACACACACACACACACTTCGAAGTTGCTTTCTTTGATGTCTGCTTTTCTGACTGATTTACTTAGTGGCCCGCCAAAGTTGGCTTTTGTTCAATAAATATGTAATTTATAAGTCATGGAAAAGAAAGTGTTGCACTGCCACAAATTGGGTTAACCGCAAAAGTAAAAGTTCTGCATGCCCCAGGTTATAGCTCACAATCTGAACTTGAATGTACCACACAAATTTAGCTCATCTTGTATTCATCTGTTAATCTGTCTGTTGCAGAGACGAACCAAAAATGAAATTCGTGATTTTGCTGTGCGTGCTCAGTGCACTGTTGCTGCAAATTGAGGCATCGCCGGTGCAGTTGCTCTCGAGGAGCGAACGGGCCGTGGCTCGCCAGCAGGCGGTCAACAATGATGTGGCACCGGCGGCGGCACCAGCCACCGATGATGATGACGACGACGAGGAGGACGATGATGATGAACCGGATTTGGGCGATTTGGTTGATGACGATGATGGTAGGTAGCCAGACCAAAATGTGAAAAAAAACAAACAGCGCACACACACACAGATATTAAGCATGCACCCGATCACCTGAGCACCATGCACCCACTGAGAAGCACCACTCCAACTAGCAACTAGCAACTAGCAACTGCAATTGCAACCACTAAGAGGCACTCAACGAGCAACCATTTTGCAACAAGAAATATTTGCATATTGTGTGATGTTATTAACGAGAATTTTATGCTCTCCTTCCCTTTGGGTAACGCAGTTATTTTGCTTTCGGGGTTTACAGATGATGACGAAGAGGAAGATGATGATGACGACGAGGAGGATGACACGCCCCAGGGCCAGGCAGCGCCAGCAGCCGGCGCCGCCAGCGACGACGATGAAGAAGAGGATGACGATGACGATGACTACCTGGACAGACTCTTCGATGATATCCTGGGCGGTAAGGACCATCGATAAGACTTTGACACTCCACTGAGCCGACCAATTAAATTACTTTGGCTGTTCGCCTATTTCCCTTTTTCCATTATCAGATGATGACGATGAGGATGATGACGATGAGGTGGCGCCCGCTGCCAGTGCACAACAGGCAGCTGCTGCTGCTGCGCCCGTCCAGGCACTTGAAGAAGTGGCGCCCGCTGCGAGCAGCTCGCTGAGCTCGGGCATTTCTGATGGTGTCGACTTGCCCGCGGAGAGTGGCAATGCCGCTGACCCCATTGCCACTGGCAATGCTGTTGAGGATGTGGCTGCGGCGCCCGTACAGACAGCGAGCAGCAGTGGCAACAACAACAACAACGAAGGTGAACTAAATGTTTTTTACGATGAAGATGCACTTTTAGATGGTAGTAGTGGTGGCACCCCTAGTTTAAGTAGCACGAATGCAATTGACCAACTAAAACACAACATAAAACAACAACAAATACAAATACAACAACTACAAGTACAACAACAACAACTGCCACAACATCAACATGGGACACATCAAACAATAACAGCAAATCAAGCATCATCACAACAGCAACATATAACAACAACAACAACAGTATCAACAAAGAACACTAATAACAATAACAATTTAATTGTCGGCACTGCTCCGGCCCAGCAAGTAGTGGGCGTGGCAGTGGGACAGCCACTTGCAGCGCCCGCTGCTGCTAATGCTGGTGCCGGTGCAGCGTCCGACGATGATGACTATGACGACGAGGACGATGAATATGATGATGATGATTATAGTGATGATGATATTGATGAAGGAGTCGATGAAATTACAGGTGCGCTGACAGGTGACGACGAGGAGGCTGACGACGATGATGATGACGATGACGATGATGATATTATTGGCGATGACGTCATCGAGGCCAGACGCGAAGCACGTGAGTCCAAGTCAACAACAGCAACAAAAACAGCCAAAGCCAAAAAATCAACAAGTGCTTCCAAGAAGTCCAAAAAAGAGCTCAAGCATTAAAAGTAAACAACTGCCACAACCACAACAACAACAACAACAACAATAAGAAACTGCAAAAACTGCTTATGACAGGGACAACAAAATATCACATTGAAATGACTTAAGACGTTGCAAGGCATTGCCAACTGTTTTTGGGTAGGACCACATGAAATCTCTCGGACATTGCATAATTCTTTGCCTGCACTGACTATCTTTATAATCCCAAAAGCAACAACTCGATCAAAAAATCACAGGAATGCAACAGCAACAACCTAATTCTAATTTATTTATTTATTTATTTTTGAGTTTTAGTTACAATGCAACAAAAGCAAATTCTCTAGTTTACACAAAGTTAAACAAAAGAAACACACACAAATTGCATAATTAAGTAAAAAATATTTTAACAATATCCTCGAAACGAGTTGATTGAGAGTTTGGTGCTAGTCAAACTATCTGCAAAATGACAACAACAAAGAGCACAATAAAAATGCAAATGCAAATTTTTAAGCTGCACACACACACACACACAAGCAACAATCCTTTCTGCCCCTTTACCCAACCACATCACCATCACAACTCCTCCGCACACAATTGTTACGTTTATATTCAAAGTTATTTACGCACGGACTGTTTCACAAGACCATCACAACCACCACCACCACCAACCACCACCAACAACAACAACAACAACAAGAACAACAACTATGAAACGCACAACAACCAAATGTTTAATGCTGAAGCACAAATTGTTGAAATAATATTCGGAGCAAAAAAAAATAAAAAACAAAGAAGAAAGAAATGCTGATATGAAAGTGAAAAGCTCGCCGCGTGGTATGCAACAAAAAAACGCTATTTTGGCAGATATTTTTGTTGCTATCCGCGTCGTACGCATTCACGCATACACAGAAGCACACACACATATACACACACACACACACAAATAGCTAATTCTATGTTTGTAAACAACAATAGCAAACACCAACAACAACAACAACAACAACGATAAATGTTCACTTAGTGTAATTTATTTATTATAATTTTTAACTTTTTTCTTGGTCCACATTTACTTTGTAATTAATTGATTTATTGGACACAAACAACAAACAACAAAAGTAATCGCCGAATTTATAAATGCATATTTGTAGCGCATATCAAAAGTCCTCTCTCTGTCTCTCTCTCTCCCTATGTATTTCTATTTGTGTATCTCTCTGTATCTGTCTCTGTTGCTCACTTTACCTTCACTCACGCTTTCATACATTTGGCTCACAATTGACATCAATTAATCGTTGGCTACTTTTTTTTGGCTTCTTTCTGGCTCGCATAACTTTCCGTAAACGTAAATAACGCAAATTGTAAAAAACATACAACAAAAAAACAACAAAAAAAAAGAGTAAAAGACAAAATTAAACCAACTGTAAATTGTAGCTGAAAGTTGATCGCTTGAAAGGCAGCGCACAATTTGCCAAAATTTTCCACATAAATGAAAAGTGACGTCAAAAACGTTTTCATTGCACAAATTGTTAAACTTTGCGTTTTAGGTTCATTTATTTTGTAATTTATTATTTATTTATTTATTTATTATTTATTGTAAAAACAAAACAAGAAAAAAAAAACAAACAAAAAAAAAATTAGCAAAGCTGCTCACACATACACAAAAAAACACTCACAAAAGTTTACTTAAATAAATTTTTAATGAAATTTGTGTACAACTTTCTGACAAATCAATTGAAAAAATCAAAATAAAAACCTGCTTATGTGTTTTATTTCTACATTCGTCCCAACAACACTTTCAAGCGTCACTATTTGCATAAAATTCAGGGATTTTTGGTTACACATTCTATCTCTCTATCTCTCTCTCTTTCTCTCTCTCTCTCTCTCTCTCACTCTTTATCAATGTGGTTGTCTCTTTCTTTTCACCACACTTTTATCATTGGAAACGTCACTTGTAGCTCTGTGTTATCAATTCATTAAAGTCTGTAATACATATCGAATTCTGTTGCTCTTTGCGGCTGGATACTTCGCTCACACTGTGTATATATAAACATTTACATTTATTTATAGGTATTGGTATAACGGACAGTGTTATTCTCTAAAAAAAACTTGATTACTATCTATTTTTAATATGGTAATTGGAAAAATGGGCGCAATGAACTTCAGTAGAAATTTTCCTCAATTAACCACAACAAAAGGGCACAGTTTAAAATAAATAAGGCTTTTCCGCCCGGATATCAGCAACTTCATCCCTGTGTACTTAACTAGTTAGTAGATTGTAAGTGGGTGGAAGGGACACACACACACACACACACACACACATTAACATGTAAATGGCACATTAGTGGCTCATTATTTCTAACATTACCAGAATAATGTTCTCTTGTATATGTAACTATGAATATTTGTTTGATTAAGGGATGCAAAAAAAGAAAAGGAAAAACCCAAATCACAGTTGGATACAGTTTCTTGGGTGAACGACTTCCATTTTTTTTTTTACGAATAGTTAAAGATATTTCTTTGCTGCTAGTCAAAGCTTACACTGATTGCGTCGAAATATCAATTTAAATATGTCTTTTGCTGGCTTTATGCTAAGTGTTTTATATTTTTATACTCCGATATATTTCGAGTCACGTCTGGATTTGTCTCGTGGGAGAGTTTCACAGCATAAGCTGTGAAGTTTGAAATTATTTAGATATGAATAACAAATATAATAATATTTTATTCAAGCTTGTAAAATTTACATTTCACTGAAGTCAATTTAAATTTATAAGACTTCCACAGCATCCATTACATAAATAATGTATCAATATTAAGCTAATTTTATATATGAATTGCACTTAATACTCATACTTTAGCAGCTCTGGAATATTTGTTCATAGATTAAGTATGGCTTTAATTAATTAAGAGCTCATAACTGCGCAGCTTGAATGTCAATGCTCTTTTATAACATTATTTGCTTTATTATGATTTTATTTTCGTTTTCCCTCCTTCACCTACACACACATAATACACCGACTTGTGGGTATGAGAGCATGGTTATTTGTGGTGGGTTCCGGGATCCCGTATATAGGCACATGATGGCGACACACGCACACACACACTTGTATATAATTAGAGAGACACACACAGTGGCGAGCACTGCATGAAAAAGCATGTTGCGACATTAACAGCACGGGGCCACGGGGCCACAGGGCCGCAAAGTTGCCACACACACTCACATTCACACACAAAATCCACAAAATGAACTTGTGTGCTAGGCTCATGAAAGCGTATTAACATCAAATCTTTTATGGCGCCGGGCAGGTGATCTGAAAAACAACATCATTGACATGTCAACGGATGCATTCCAAGCGCGCCATAATCATTTCATCGATGCCATATTCTCTCGCATAAATCGCATTGTCGCCGACAATTATGATCCGTTTGTTGTGCGATTGGCCGGGCGCTCGGCCACGCCCACATATGGGGCAGGTGCTGCAACGAAGACTACAACCAAGACCAAGGGGAATGGCAATCACAAGGCGACAACACACAAAAAACTGTAAGTCAAACTAGCAATAGACGTAACTCGATGTTTGCAAATGGTTGCCTACAACTTGGATACACTTGTAGAGCATAAGAAATGAAAGTTTCTATCTAGTTGTATGCCACAGCAGTTGCCACAAGTTAGAAAGTGTTTTACTCAACGTGAAGTAAACCGCATGACTTAGTCAAGCAGCTGACTGCTCGGCAAGGGTATACAAGCTGGCATCAAATCAGGGCAAAGTCAAAGCAAATGATGCAAATTTGTCAATCTCTGTGACTTGCAGCAAGAACACTCGCTCGGAGCCGCGTGCCTCCTCCGCCTCCTCCTCGTCCGCTGGCACCATTGGCAGCAGCACCGAGTCAATCAAATTGCAAGAGCAATTGACGCAATTACAGACTGAGCTCGGCCTCAAAGCAAGGGAGGAGCAGGATGGCCAAAAGGAGGTGGCATCCGGATCTGGCAAAGCGGAAACTCGTACCGTGTTCAATAGGGAGCAGGGTGCTGCCAAAGTCAACCAAAAGAAATCCACTGGCACGCAGCAGGCGGCGCATAAGCACAACCCCAAAAAGCCCGGTGGTGGTGCGGCCCTGAAGGCTGGCACTGGCAACTACAATAAGCCAGCGGGTGGTGGGGCCTCCAACAAGGCTGGCCCGGAAGTGGAGAAGCTGCAAAAAGCGGAGGGAAGTCTATCGGGTCTGGCGTCGCTGAAGCGCGTTGGCAACGTGAAGGTGATCAGCGATGCGGAAGGACGCAATTCGACCATTAAGGCCAAATTCACGTTGGGCCCACTGACTCTGCGCGTGGAGAAGTCCTTTAAGCGGGGCAGCGTGCGTAACGTGAAGAGCGCCACTGCCAGAACCAACGAGATGATCGGACGCATTAAGTTCAGTGTGCTGGATGATCGGGCCACCTTGATGTCAATCAAAGTGCAACAGCCCAAACAGGTAAAGCCTCAGTTGCCACAGCTGTTGCAACACCTTTGTGCCCTCTGCAATTAGCCCTAAATTGATTTTTCTTTCTGTTTTCTTTTGTGGTGTGTAGGTGGAGGTGGAGAGCAAGGATAATCACGACCGGACCCGCGAACTCGTCTGGCGTCGCACGCCCAAAATTGCCAAGTTGGTCAACGAGAAGCTCAAATTGGCAGCCGAGTCCCTCTTCACACCGCAGGGCGTTGAGGTTGTCCGGCTCTAAGCGACTGGGAGTTGCCCTCCTTTGCGTGTAGCTCTAACTAACCTAATTTTAATGTCTAACTTATTTATTTAAATTATTTGCGCTCTTTATTTGATAATTAAAAATATTACTGTCGCAGTTTACAAATGGAAGCAATCCAAATGCCAGCTTATAGATCGGGAAAGGGTTTCTAAATCGAAATTATTTGGTTATATTTTATTCATATTACGCAATTGAAATTGTTTTAATTAAGACAACTGTGATTTGTTTGAGAATTTGTGGCAGGCCTTTGGTGAAATTATCGATGCCATCGAGTTGCATCTAAAAGTCTATTTTCAGTTCAAAATAACTATTCACTTCAGCAGTGCCGCTGCAAACAAAGGGTCTGCAGCAACAGTTGTTGCACCCAGTTGCATTTCAGTGCGTTGCAAACTAACGAGAATGCTGAAAGTATCTCCCTTCATTAAAGCTGCAGGTGGATTCTGGACAAAGCCCTGCATTTGCCCCTTCGACTTCCCAAAAGCAAATATGAGTGCGTATTTTGTGCAGCATCTAAAAGCGGAAGGACATGCAATTTGTTGTTGTTTGCTCATGTAGCTGTGTACTCCACTCACCCCACCTGCTGCCCACCCCAGTCAGGCAACTCTTGGCTTCTTTGTCGCCATCGTGTATGCTGTTTGTCTTGTTGTCCTGTCTGATGTTCGTTGTTGTTCTTTGTTGCACCTAAATTGACAACAATATCGTTTCATTTGCTCAGTGAAGTGAACTCATCAGTGCTCAGATCCCCATACCCCCTCCTAACCCACTGCACAGTTTGTTCCCCTTCCAACTAATTTCGTTGTCAGGACACTGACACACTGCTGCATCAGTTTTTTTGGCCAGCTCTTGCTGCAACTTAGCCGTGGGGCAGCTTGAATGTAATATTCTAAAAAGAGGTCAATGTGTGATTGTGGTATTTCATATTTTTAAATTGGATTTACTTTAAATAAAATGTTGTTAAATGACATTGTGCAATGCAATTGTTGGTCTTAGTTATGCTGTAAAACGCTGCACAGCAACAAATTAAATCAATTCCATTGCTGCAACGGGGTCTGAGGCAAAAACTCATTTGCAAGACTTGCCAGCCAGAGCGTAAAATACGAAAATGTTTAGTAAGTAAATTTTGTGGAGCATTCATTTGCATTTGTTATTAGTTGGTCGGTCTTTGCCAGTTGCAATTGTTGTTGAATATGCAACAATGCCTAGACGAAAGCCAAGCTCAGCCAGAAGATTAAATTCTATGTTGGAGCTGATTGCATTACCCCAGTGGGTGGTCCAATGCCCTATTTACTTGGAGGAAAAGTATGAAAAGGGATTCCTTCATAAATCATATGCAACAAATTTGAATGTTCCTCTTACAATCTGGCCATATGAAGTCTTTCACTAGTTTGGTTTTGAAATGGAACATTTGCAGTATGACTTGACTTAAGTTTTGCTGGAGTTCGAAAATATTTTGAACGATATGTGCAACTTTTGAGTCAAACTTGTGTGGAAAGTTTAACAGCTTCAAACGTGCCACATGCTGCCTCATTAGACTAAGATAACGATGTGTGCCACACCCAAAAACAAACGTGTGAAAAAGTTGCCTGCCTGGTCGAAAGTTCTGAAAACTATGCCCAAGTTGCTGGGCAAAGTCAAGCATACAACTTGCCCCATGGCAACTTGGCCAAGGTCAAGGGGCACTAGAAATTAATCAACTTGTTTAATTAGCTCGCTAAGCTGCAGATGGGCTTCACCTGCCGTCCAGGCACAAACATGCTCTGATCGAAAGTGTCGTCGAGGCTTGCCACAAAAGCGACAACTAATTGCCACATAATCAACAACAACAACAACAGCAACAATGCGAATGAGAAAAGGAACTGTGACAACCGCAACAAGCGGTAACTATTGTAGGTGGCACCAGGGGGTGGGTGAGGACTCGGATCGGAATTAAGCACTTGCGCTTTTTACCAACTCAATTTACGCTAATTACTGATTTTCGCCATGGCGATAACGGTACGCGCTGTATTTGCCTAACTCTTAGCTATCCCCAAGAGATAAAACCCAAAACGAACACAAACACACACACATTTATATATATATGTGTTTGTTCGTAGTGGAGCATTGTCAACATCAGCGCTCGTTGCCCATCTGCGGCAACCAGGCGAACGTCATGTGAATTTATATTGTCATTAGTTCTTTTTATGTAAAGTCGCTATGTAAATTGTATTAAAATTCCACCAATTCGCCGCAAAAGTGCAGAGAGAGTGAGCATGACCAATGCGCATGCGCGCTCTTTGCTTCGTTCTCTTTATCTGCGCGTAGCACTGACCTTAAATTGTGATGCTGTGGATGCTGTTGTCTGAGTCCAACACACAGTTCACGTCGTGTGTTTTTTTGTTAGACTGATTATGATAAAGAGAGCTGTGCAAGTCCAAATGACCAAGAATGAGATTGTGATTATGAAGATCGAGGCGAGAGCTTATTGAAATGAAACACTTAATCTATGTATAAGTAAAATAACTATAAATTCGCATTTTGTTATCCTCAATTGGCATAACTTTTTCAAAACTACATAGATATAATTTAAGTTTATGAAATTCAGTGTATTAAAAATGGCTTAAGTGTAATACAGTTTAAGCAACATAATATTAAATGTACTTATTAATGACTAAATAACAATTCCGCATTATAAATTAATCACGTTTCCCAATTACCATTTGCTAGAAATAAACGATTATCTTTAATAGTTAATTCAGTTTTATATTGTGTCAGACGCATCACAATAAACCATTTTATGCTTGGCTGCTTGAAGAGCACAAATCAGTGAGCGACAAATTAGCTTGAAGAGAAGTCGTCTTTGCGGCGAATTGGCAGTCGGCTTTGGCAAATGTTGTCGACGACACCAGCGACGCTGACGAAGCCCGAAAGCACGAAGGCGACAGCAACAACAACCGAACAGGCAACAGAACGAGGCTTGGTCCTGATAATGTTGGAGGCTAAGGTTCATTCGTTGCGTCAGCTGGCAATTGCTGGGCCCCAAAATAAGTTTCAGTTTCAGTTTGTGTGCGACGACGACGGTGAACGCATGCGAGACAAACGCAGCGGGTAACGTATGCGAGCTCAGTTCCGAAACCAAATTCAATTTCGATAACGAATTCGATAACAACAAAAGCCCAGCGGCAAATAAACCAAACAAGTTGATATCCACCGAGTGAGACGCGAATTTATCTGCATCTACACCAGTATAAAACTGTGAGTGTGTGTGCGTGTGTGCATGTGTGTGTTAAAGAAAAGTTGAGACCAACTTCTTCTTTGGAGCAAGTCAAAAAGTGGCAAAGTCGTAAATTTTGAACGTGTGAAAACGCAGGAAAAGCCTCATTGCCACATTGCCGGCCTGGCGGGAGATGAAATTGAAAGGACTTTGTTGCTGGCATTGTTGTTGCCATTATTGTAACTGCCGTTAGCTTATGCCTTTTGGGGCAGTTTAGCAAAGTGCGCGCGACACACGCGAATATTTTATGACATCGTTTCGAATTATATGCGATTTTTTGTTATTTTTTTGTTTGCTGCTGTTCGCAACTTGTTAACTGTGGCAGCCGACAAAAGACGAAACGAAACTAATAAAATAAAAAACAGCAAAACGCACACACAACAAATAAGAAACGAGCTGCCCCTTCCCCCATCCCCCATCCCTCATCCACCTTCCCAACTCTCCGGCCTGTGCTCTCTCCGCACCTACGCACCTAATGCCCCTCCTTAGCATTCTGCCTCATTAGCAGGCAGCAAATTAAGTTGCTTTTATATTTAGACCAACATTTTCCACAACGTGAAAATAAATTAACAAATTAAAAAAACACCGAACTCAATACAAACACCTCGAAAATGTAGTAAATCGTCTTTGATCTTTAGCTCGACCGATAAATGGAATAACGCGTCAAAACAAATTGTGTGCACAGCAATTTCCCCGAACGACAATATATTGTAATTTAATATTACCATAGCCTTCAAGCGGTAAAAAAAAATAAACAAAAAACTGACAAAAATTAATAGAAAACACATAAAGAAATCAACAGAAAGTGCGCGATGGCTTTTAGTGGGGAGCCAGGCGGCCAGCGAGACCAGCAGAATGATCGCCAGCGGGTACACACTGCGTATGCGCATTGCGTAAACTAATTTGTTACGCACACGCCACGTTGTACAAGTCTGTAAGGCAGAAAACAGCTACAAGCGTTGTCATTTTTGCTGCCGTTGTTCGCCAAAAAAAAAAACTTTATCCTTAATAGTTGCACTAAGTAGTTGAAGACAGGCGGGAAAAGTTTCTGTACACTTTTATTAAATAAGAGCACACATCAAGAAAGTCGAGACAAAAGCACGAACATGCCAAGTGCCAAGTTGCCTTTTGCTATTTTATCTGTGCTTCACCTGCTACATAAATTCCTTTCCAAAAAACACAAATTGAACACTTCAAACTTTTGCCAATTTGTTTTTCGTTAATAATATTACAATATTCAATCAGGAAATATAAACAAAGAAATATTTGGTTTCCATTAAAATTGATCTGAGTAAGAAATATTTCTGTCAAAATTGCCCCAAAAATCGTTAAACTTAATTTAATTTACATAAAACCTCGAATAAATGAAATGTATTAAAAGAATTGAATTTGCGCACTCGCAAATCTGATTATTTTAGTTCCTGAGTAGCTCTTCAAATACACAGATATTGTTATAGCCTCAAATTGCCTTCTCTCGACAGTTGAGTATCAAGGATGCTGGCCATAATCATTAGGTTAAATGCAGAGAAAATCTGCGTAAATGGCTTTCAATTTAGCAAAACAAGCAAACAAAATGGAAACCAAACTAAAATAAGCACACAATGCTCTTGTATCAATAAAATATTCATGAACAATGCGAACAGTGTCGCACGGGGAGCCACTGAACCGTAGCAATGCGGAAATGGCCAACTAAACTACGGGAGGGGAGGCAAAGGGAAGGTGACGACCACGTCATCTAATCACGGATACTAACTGTAATGACAAGCGTCGCCAAAGGGAGTAGAACACTGCTGAAGAGCTGAGCAACAAACTGCAGACGTTTGCAATTACACACACACAACACACCGACACGAACTGAAAAAATGATATAGAGAATGATAGACAGAGAAAGGAAGAGAGAGAGAGAGAGAGAGAGAGAGAGAGAGAGAAGAGGGAGTGGTGCGACAAGTGGACTTCACTTGAGCTTTCACAGCCTTGGGCAACAATTACCAATCCGCACACACTGACACAGACTAGGTACAAATACACAGCCATAACACACTCTCAAAGAACGTGTGTGTGCATTAACACTTTCGAGAGAGAGCGAGAGAGAGAGAGAGAGCGAGGAGAGCAGCAACAGCATTGTCCTCTGCGCTGCTGCCGTCTTTAATTCTATTACGGAAGCAAAAGCGACAAGTGGCCCCCACTGGGCGCAAAAGGGCTAAGATGCCTTCTGCTGCTGCTGATTGAGGTCTAACACAACACAACACACAACAGCAACAGCCTCAGTATCTGCTTCAGTCTCGGTTGATGTCAGTCATTGTACCTTTGAGTTGATTCCTGAATCCCATGCCCATTTTTAGTTTGTAATTAGCTGAAAGTGTTGCTGCAAATTTGCAATTAATTTGCCTTAAATGAACTGGGCACGCCACAGACAAATTTGCAAGTGACGTGCGAAAAAGTCAATGGCAACAACGGCTTCAACAAATTACAAGTATATTTATCAAGGCAGCTGATGTAGGAGCTGGGGTAACTTTATTCAGCCGCAGCTCGAATTGATTGATATCCAGCTGACACATAGCGCATAAGCTCAAATACACACAAATAGATAAAAATGCTTGGGGATGAGTTAAGGATTGGCCAGAGGGTAAAGAAGACATTTGGTGGGTTTCAATCTTGGGGCGTGACAAGCCTGTGGGCCAAACCATTTCCCAATTCCCGCCATCCATTTGCCCCATATGCAATCAAATACGCACGCACATTTACACATATAAGTGTGTGTACCTAAATCTATTTATTTATTTTGTCTGTTTTCTTTGCCTTTAGCCCGTTTTGATTATTATAAGCACGGTCAAGCTTATTTTTGGTCTTGGGGGTTCCATATTATTCCATAGACATGCGTGTGGGCTGTGCTCATAAAATATGCATAACTGAAATTCTAGCAAAGTTATCTGTTAATTATACACCCAGTAAAGGCTCGCATTTAAAGCAGTGTAGGGTTGGTAATTATATAATTGATTTTTCATTTCTTAAATTTGCTTAAGGTCGAGTGTTCCAATTTAAGTGAGATTAATGTACACAGAAAACTTTTACAGACTAATGTAGCACGAAGGTTGATTATTAAAATATGATCAACTTTTACAGACTAATGTAACACGAAGGCTGATTATTATAGAATCATTGCTCTTATTAGATTCTTGAATCAATTCAATTCACTAGTCTCATCCGTAAGAAGTATTTTGCTTACGATATTTTTGCTAGGATATTTTATTCAATGCGTCATTTGTGTTGAAACATAAAAGGTTTTCCTTTATTTTATTTTGTTCAATTTGTAGCTTTTATTAGGTGAAAATGGGCACCAGCACTAAACGAAGCGAACAGGCTTATAAAAACAATGATAAATTTAATCAATTAAAGTTCACAAAGCTGACAAAATCAATTTGGCAAAGACAGCAAAAACTGTTCGAAGCGCGTGGCAAAAAGAAAAGCAACAACAAAATGGCATAAATAAAAGGCTAAAGTTAAAAAAGGAAATGGAAAAGCGAAACACAAAAAGTAATATTTGGCATAGGCAGCAATGGGACAACAGCAACAACAGCAATAACAAATAGATTAAAAAACGAACGAACGTTAAAAGATTAAAGTGTCTGCCATTGGAATTAAGTGTTTTAAATGTCATTGCGAGTGTTTAATTCTTGGCGAGTGGGGAAATAGCGCAGAAGTCGAAGGGAGTTTTTATTGCTGTTCTTCTTCTGTGTCTGTGTGTGTGTGTGTAATATGAATAAAATATCATTTACAGTGAAGGAAAAAAATAAATAACAACTATAAAACGGCTAAAAGTGCAGCTATAAAAACACTTAAAGCTAACAAAGTGCGAATCGATAGTGAAAACATAGCAAAAACATAGTAGGAAAGCGAAAGTGCAACAGCAGGTGATAAAGATCCAGAAACGGAGCCAACAACAGAGAGACAGAGAGAGAGAGAGAGAAGGAGAAACGTAGAGTGAGAGAGAGAGAGAACCCCAGAGAGAAGCAGACGGCGCTGGGCGCTCAATCCACATAAAAATGCTGACCTTCTCGACGCTGCTCTGTTGCATGATGGGTAAGTTGTAAGTCCGGGCAGGACAATTGAACCCTGTCCTAACCCCAGTTAAATACATATCTACCTATACCTATACATATATATATATATATACTGTCTAAGCATGCATAAGATTATCTGCGATTGCAGGCGACAACGAACCCAAGTGACCCCCAAGTTATTATTGCTGTTGTTGCGGCAGCACCTACTGTGAATCCTTTAAAAAACATTTGTGGCCCGGGCCCTGTGAAAATCCAGATTTATGTCTGCCTGCTGCGCTGCACTGCGCTGCGATCTCGACATCGTTGCCGTTGTCGTTACGTTGTTTTTGTTGTCCTTGCCAGCAACATGGCTAATGCCAACCGCAGCATGAGCAGCAGGCAAGCAAACTAACAAAACTGCGGTCGCAACGCTTCAGGCAGCCCCAGACAGACATATCGCATAACGGGAGCGAATACGGGGAAGAGATCTTGCTGCTGCCACAATTAAAGCTTCAACTTTAAAAGACAGTGCACAAATGGCTCTCTGCACATAATTATGCATAATTGAAAAGTGTAATTACGCCCAAGACTAGAGCTGCGATTTTAAGTGGCACAGCTTCAAGCTCAATCAAGCAGAGCAACAGCATAAGCCGTGGCAACAACACAACAGCACAGCGGCACAAGGCAAGAGGCAGCTGTAGCAACGTTAATGTTCAGGACTCTCCTTTTAATTGCTACCAGATGCAGGCTAGGCTAGGCACTAAGATGCCTTAAGCAAAATAGTCCAAGCGACCTGCATAGCAAGACAAAACCATCTGGAAAATATTGAAGAACATCTTTCTTGGACTTGCTGAAAGTTAAGAATCCTTTCCTTTGCTTGTGCGAAGTGCAGTTAATCGGATAGCCAAGTAAATAATGTTACCATCAAAAACAGACGCAATATTGCTACTCGAAGTTTATATTAAGTGGCGCAGAACCATTAGTCTTGCCAGATGAGGAGGCTATAATTAGAATACAACTCAAGTATAACAATGCATAAATATGATTATATTTATGTAGGTTGTGTTTCTGGTTAACTCTATGAGTAGGTTATTATGGGCCTCCTTACGTTCCCCCTGAATACAAGGCATACTTCTTTCCTGTTCTGGTTTGCTGTAAGTTGTTCTGGTTCTCAGCTTTTGGTTCAGTTTGTTGTTCCTCGCCTCAAATTTCGCCCACTTTGCCGTCAGTTTTCTTTCAGAGGTTGCTTTTTTCTGCCTCTTGTGCCATGTGTTTTTATTGCATTAATTTTTATGGTCGCTTGCCTTGAGTTGTTGTTACTGTTGCTGTTCCTGATGTTGCTGCCGCTGTTTCTTTTTGTTTTTGTTGTTGTTGTTGTTTTGGTGCTTTTGTTTTACTTGCGTATGCCCCAAAGTAATAAAGTGAATTGGTTTTCTCAAATAATTTCCATTTTAAATCCAGTCAGCAAATCCGCACAAGCTATACTGCCCACCATGCCCCACTTTCTTCACTCCACATTCGACGTTTGTTGCTGCTTGTTGTTCTTAGCCTTGTAGTTGTTGTTGTTGTTGTTGTTGTTGACGTTCTACCAAAAGTGGCTTCATTTTCTCGCATACAATTGTTTTGTAAAGTTTGTTCAGATTTGTTTGGTGACAGCATTTGCGATTGTTTCCGTTATCCCGGATCCCTTTAGTTTTTGCTGTTACTTATTCCAATTCGTCGTGGTGTCGAAATCTATTTGCATTTGTCTCCAATGCGACTGCTGTTGCCGTCAATGTCAAAGAGGCCTCAAAATTTAATTGAAATTTAGTGTAAACACAATGACAGCCTGTCGATTATCCTGCTTCCGCCCCCTCCTCCCCCACACACACACACCTTATAAACGCAGCGACTCATCCAAGTCAATATTTCCGAGAAATCCTTTCGCGCGCATATCCTGTCAACTTTGGCTTGGCTTCCAATTTGCCGAGCTCTTTTTGTATGTCAAAAACTCGATCTAAAACACGGCAAACATTTCACACACATGTCACTGAGCCAGTGCAGTTGTTGCCCTGTGCTCTATCAAGGATATGCTGCCCCTGTTCGCTAACTTTGGCTGTCAAGGCAACACCAACAACATTGTATCAAGTCTGCCTCGCGCCTTCCCCCCAGACAACATACACGCACACAATCCTGAGTTAGCAAGTAAGCTTCAATTGTTTACTTATTTACTTTGTGCATATGGAAATGAAATGGCAAATAAGCGAATGAAAAGGAAAGAAAAATTACGTTGACTTTCCCAAATGTACATAAGCGACATATACACACAAGTGCAAACAAATGTATATGTACACACATATGAATGGGTGGAAACACATTTAAGGAAAGCCAAACGCCGTCGGCAACACCAGCAACAACAAAATCACTGATTTTCTTTGCCTCCCCCAACATCCAACACCCAACCGTCAATCTCTCGTTGTCACACGTTTGATTTAAAGCAACAGCTTCTTCAACTTATTTTTATTAGATTTATATATACTCATGTTTCGAGCTTCTGCCTATAAGCATTTTCTTAGGAAAGCATTTAGCTTAATACTTTATTCCACAAAATGTGTATTTATTATTAATGTTTAATACACAACTTATGCATTACTCAATGTTATCTGTGCGAGCATCCGTCGTACTGAGTACAATCCCCGCTTTGCCAATTATATCATTTCGATCAGTAAAATATCTACTTTTTAAGCATATTTCTTATCTATTATATTATTAGCATATTTTTAGGACAACCACATTTATTTATTTTCTTTATTTTAATTGGTTGTCGTATTCAAATCTTAAAAGCCGATTGCCACTTTGTACACCCCATTTAACCATTCCATGGCTTTTATTTTATTTGCTTGCTTTATTTTTGTTTTCTCATTTTTTTTTTGACAATAATTCTTGCAACATTTCTTTATTTTGGTTTGCAGCATTTTCAATTTCTGCGTACTTTTGTTTATTTTACTTATCAAAAAGCATCATATTCAAATAAACACAGAGAAGACATAGAAAAGCAGCTAAACAAAAAATAAATGAAAATAAAGGGGCATGAACAAATTGTTTACGGATGTGTTTGCGTCCTTCTTGTAATCTTTGCTGTTGCTGCTTTTGTTGTTGCTGTTACTGCCACAACTGCCATTGCGAAGAGGAAGTGAATGGAAGAAAAGAAGCAACCAAAAAATGAAAAAGGATGTAACAAAAATTCATAACAAAATACATTTCATGGCATTGCGAGCAACTCGTTCATCCTGTTCGGGATCCTTCGGTTGCTGTACTGTGCGTGTTTGTGTGTGTGTGTGTGTGTGTGTGTATGTAAGTCACTTTTTTATTGTGTGTTTGGCCAGAAAAGGAAATTCACTTGACTTTTGCCTACAATAGTTTTTCATTTTTGTGCTTTGCAGTCTGTGTGTTTGCTGTTTTTATTATTATTTTGGTTGTTGCTGAGGTTGCCTAAAGGCATAAATAAGCAAAGAGTCTGTTGAAGTTGTTGCCGCTTGGCAGCTCGACTGCGTTTTGGCCATGGCCAATAAGCCAAGATGTGCCCAGTAGGCAGAATACACTCACACATTCATACTTATTTATGGCAATTTTTCATAAGTGATTGCCAGAAACAGACCATCTATATTTATTTGAGTGTGACAGCCTTTTCTACTCCTTATTAAATTAAATAGGAACAGCAGTCAATTTTTTAAAATATATTTATTTGCCTTCTTTTGTATGCACATCTATTTTGTTTCGACAATGCATTTCATGAGCCATCAGATTTATAACAAATGACTTTTCAAACACACTCCGGTAATTATTAAGACTCATGTCATAGCCTTTAAACGTATAATAACTCTCGACTTCAATAGCAATCCAGTGCCGGGCACACAGTTAATTGTGGACATAATGGAAGCAATACAGGAGAAGCTTATAATGGCAACAACAAAGTGTTTCCACACCCAATGTGTCCATAATCCCAGACCAATTCTAATAGCAGCAGCAGGAACAAAATATAACGACCCTGGCTCGCTTTTATTATTCCGCTAAATTGATTTTGAATTTAGTTCAATGTTTATGGTCAAATGATTGCGTTTTTGTGTCACCAGCCTTGGGGAGCAAATGGCAACAAATTCTCATATATTTATGTGGTGTACGTATATGGTATCTATGGGTTGGCATACGAACAGACCCTGGTCCTATATCTCCTTCTCTCTGCTCTATATCTCGATATATTTTGCGGATGGTCAGCAAGGTGCGGCTACAATTCTTGCTTTGTGTACCATATAAATCATTTGTGCTTCGATGCGTAACCGACAGCAGCCCCTAGAAGTTGTCCACCCCCAACCCAAGGGACAAGCCGTTGGGGCCGAAAATAAACACACCTATGCCAGAAGAATGCCCTGAAACGAGGTAAAAATGAAAAGCGTTTCAAGAGTAATCCCCAATCGATTTTCAAGCACATTCATTGAGTTTCCGGCCGCCATTTGCTGACTTTAAGAAGCCTTTTTGTGGCCACCTTTTTTATTTATTTATTTTTTTTTTGTTGTGTTGTTATTCACTTTTTTTTTTTTTTTTGTATTATACTCATGCATATGCTTAGGACGCGCAGCATGCCTGGAGTAAGTGAGTTTATACATTTTTTATTTATTTCATATCCATTAAGTTCAAAGCAAAATGTGTCAGAGAGGCGTCTAATGTATTGGCTGCTTCGACCATAGTTGGGGTTCGGGGTTGGGATGCGATCCGGACTACTCTCTGGGCGCACATTGATTGCCAGCGAGACTACTCTGTAATGGCCTGGTCTGGCCTGGTGGGGCGTCATGTGGTGTTATGTGGTGTGGTCTTGTTCTTGTCTGGTTGGATGGTTCAAGCGTTGAAATTTCAATTACTCAAGCATATGATAAATGAACTTGTAGCCGCAAATTTTCTCGCCCCTTGTCTGGCAGGCTGGGGAATCCATTATGAAGACACACCGCAAGCCGCCCACTAAGTGTGTGGGCGTGTCACTCACATGTTCATGTGCAAAAAGTGCAGCTTGTGAAATGATTGTGAAAAATACTTGCTCAACTTTTGCCCAGACTACAGTTTGCTCGAACCAAATATGCAAAGCCTTCTCCGGGTCAACATGAAAGGAGTTGCGAAAGTTTGTGTGTGCGTGAGTGTGTATATGTGTGTTTGGGGGTTGTGTGTAGAGAAAAGTGTTCTTAAATGCCATTTGCTGCCTGCAAAGTTGTCGTGACTTAACAGCTTTTGGTAGCAGCAGCTGCTGACTGGCAATTGCCCTGCTCAGCCACGTTGGTATTCAGTTAATTAACAGCTAAAATATTAACGTGTGTGAGCGTCAGAAGTATGCAAGTTTTAAATTAAGTTAATTAAGTGACATATTTGGAATGACATCCAAGCGAAGTCCCAAAGACAATCGGTAATCCGCACAAAATTGTTGTTCACTTACTGATGGAAATTCATTTCCTCTTTGCCATTTCATTGGTGTTATTTGTTGTTAGTGTTAAGTTCTATAGTACATCAATGTAGCTTTGCCAGTCACTCAGTCAGTCATTCACTCAGTCAGTCAGTCTGCCACTACAAACATGCATCGACATCAATTTAATTGCATTTCATTCATTGCTAGGCAGCAGCTGCTGAATTTCATTCATTGCTAAGCACAAACTGCTGCTTCAGCCCCAATGCTGTGCCAAAGTGGATGGTCCGGATCCGTCCGGGTGCTCCGCGAAAATGGTGTGAAGTTTCATTTCACTTCAGTTGCGGGTGTTATAAAAAAGGCAAACTGAAAACCACATACAAGAATGTAATGCAATGCTGAGTGAAGAAGCTGGAGCAGTGGTCCGGGAATGTCGAGAGGGACCGAGGGAATCTACCAGTCAGAATGGCGACGAGGAGAGGCCCCACAACAGTCAGCAAACAATGGGTGAGATGAGTGCAAAAAAGGATTTAACGCAAACATAACTTTACGAAAACCTATTTATCTTTTCATTTATCAAGTTTGAACTGTGTAGAAATTGAGCACGCAGAATGAATCTCAAATAGTTTGAATTGGAAATTTCTAAAAAAAAGCGAAAATGTATCATAAAATTGGATTTTGCGCAAGTGCAGCACATATTTGTTAACTTTTTGGTTACACTGTCTTGTCTGTAGTTGGCCAGCATAATAAATAAGTCTTTGATATAGAAAAAATAAATATGATGTCCTAATTTCGTTGGTAAAACATTAGAACTTGCTTTTGATATGTTTGAAATGATTTATTATTATTGTGATTATAGATGTTCGCTGCACTTAGTAGGATACCCAATGTTACCCACTGTAGCACTAAGTTGCCACTAGGCACTTTTACACCCGCTCTTTCAATTCCTCGTTTCCTTTTCCATTCAACTAGCGTTTCTCATTGCTTCTGCTTTTGGCGCGAGGCGTTTTTGGAATGGCAAAAATTGAGACGTCGCCGTCATTTTACCGCACGAAACGGAAATACCAGACAGAAAAAGAGAGAGAGAGAGAGAGAGAGAGCGAGAGAGAGAGAGAAAGAGATAGAGAGCGAGTGATTTGAAAAGGCAAGCGGAGAGAAAAAAAACAAAGTTTTTAATTGAATTGTATGCTGCACAGCTTCAATTGCAAGACCGTTTCGCTTTGGGGTTAGCCATCGGTCTAGAATTGAGGTAGAGTTGGGTTTGGCTGTATTCCGATCCAGCGACATGTTTTAGCCGTCAAGAGCCACAGTTGCAGCTGCAGATTCGTTGGTTTGGCACGTTTTCCTTGTTATCGACCGAACTGCGAACGTTTGTGCCTCAAATTTAGATACCGCATCCGCTCGACTAAATGCGCGTGCTTAGATCCAAACGAGTAATGTAAACACTTACGAGCGCACAGCTGCTGCCGGAATATAATGCTCTGGACTGGAAGATCTGCCAGCAAATGCTATTGCTGCTATTGGCTGTGTTTTTTGTTTTGTTGCCATCGCTCCATCTCTTTTTGCTTTTATTAACACAAATATTAATTTTTGCGGCGCTGCATGTGGCATGTGGCTGTCTTGTTTACACTGATGCCTTCGGCAAGCGGCTTTGCTTGCCCCATGCCCCATATTCCTGGCACGCCCTGCTCGTTTGTGATTCTGTTGTCTGAGTGTATCTCATTAAAGTCAAAGGCACCCAAGCACGCACTTCAATTTGCATGAGCACAGCTTTGAGATGTCCCTTTTTGGGCTGGGAACGGACCTAACGGCCTCCGCCTGGACTATGGCTTCATTTTGGACACTCTTTGTATAACATAACATTGTGGAGAAGCAAACAAATCTTATCATAAAACAGATGGCGTTACATCATATACACTTGGTGGCCCGGTTGCTTGTCACCCAGAGCAGCGGCTATAAAAGTAACGATGTCCATCAGCACAGGAGAAAAGAAAACTTTACAATGGCGACAAATTACTGGAATGCGGGTGTGCGGGAGGTGTATGTCCATACCATGCCAATCGCACCTGACCCAATTCAGCACTGATTTCGCTGAACAAGAAGAGGAGGAATGAACAACTGATGCAAAGTGAGACAAGGCTACAGCTTATCAAGCTCCTCGATGGCAGAGTATATTGAGAGTTATCTATTTCCCAATACGTCTCTTAATTTAATTCAATTTCAATGGGCTTTGATTTGAAAAAGCGTTGAATCTTTCAAATGTTTCAAATGCATACAATAAATTGCATAGATTTTGAATTAAGTATACAAAGTTACTGTTGGTTAATAATCTTGTCTCTCTGCAGTATGATTTTGACATTTGTCAGTTTTTGTTTTACTAGTTAACGAACAAAATAGATGACTAACAACACTTTCACAGAGCCATTCTGCAAAAGTGTATAAGAATGGTGTCATATTTCAGGCATATAAATACGCATGCATTTATACGTATGTACGTAAATCCTGCTCCACTTCTTATAGTTTTTCTTTTTGCTGCAAGGCCACAGCTGCCTTCATCTAGGACTTGCACTTGGCACACAATTGCCGAGAAATGTTTTGTAGTTGGATGCTCTGGATGCAGGCAGCCCGTTCTCAGAAGCAATCTCTGCAGGCGGCATGGCCATACATGCGGCCATCGCACGGCTGGCTGCCTCTTCGGCCGCATTCTTTTTGTTGGAAACTCAGCTTGGGATTTCCTGCAGCATTTTAAATGCATTTCAACCATTTTCCATTCAACGCTTGTGTTAGTTTGCCGTGCGATTGCTGGGCAAATATTTTCTTAATTAGTTGGCACAGAGCTGCCTGAAAAAAACTGGGCAATTTCACTTCTTCTTCGCTTCAGGTTTTCTGGCCAGCTGACCAGCTGTCAAATGTGAAAAATTACAACTCAAATTGCTGTACAAAATGGCTTTAAAAGCTCGTTGAAAGTCACGCAATGTGTTGCATAATTTATTTGTACGAAAACAGAAATAATATTAATTACCACTGCAGTACTTGAGGGTGGCTCTGTAAAGAGGGGTCAAAAGTGCAGCGCACAGCGTGAAGTGCGCAACAAACATTAAACAACGATGACAACCAACAAGCCAGCGACCTCTTGACTTTAACCCCTGAATGTCGAGTAACTTTCCCCCAAGTGCGTCATAAAAAAATGCATAAAATTTGCATGTCAGAAATACGTTGACGTTCATTCCCACAATGACTGCTCCTCGTTGTCGTCATGGTGGCAGGACTCTGCTTAGCTTCACTATAGCTCTTCAAACGGACTGGGTTTTGGCTTAACCACGAGCGTTAAAAATTTTGCAGTCAACATAACAATTATGTGGATTTGTTGGATACGAACAGGGAGGATGAGGAGAGGGGCAGGGAAAACAGATTGTCAGATTCTTAAAACGGAAACATTTCACCACACAGATTTGTCTTGTTTGCATATTAAAAATTCCCCCGTGCCATATGGTTTAATAGTGCATTTAAATTTTTAGGGCCCACACAGCTAATTACGTGTGGGCTGTTTATACGTTTCAATTTTTTGGGCACGGGGTGTTTAATGCCATGTTGCATAAATGTTGAAATGCTGTGGCTGGCGCGACACATGTTTGATTCGATGCCAGACAGGGCGCTGATAGGGGCCACAGTTTGGGACGGTGTGGAAAGAGGGACGTTTCATTGTCTCATCTGCTCGCCGGCGTGTCTGGCTGTCTTCCGTCTAAACAAGATAAGCAAAATGTGAACAAGATGCGCAGCAAATGTCAAAGCGTATTTAATGAGCACACGCACCCTATCCGCTCCCCAGCCGCTCCCGTCTGCGCCATGCTGCACGCTCAAATTTTGCCGCGATTTTCTGCGAAAATCAGAAAATCAGTTGGCAAGAAATCAGATTGAGAGTTGGGGTAACCGCGTCGTCGACAAGGCAAAATCGACAATGTTGTGGCAAATACTGATGCGGTATGAACTGTGGGGCATGGAATAGGGACCATTGGAAGGACGACGACGACGATGACGACAATAAGGAGCTGTAGATAAAGCTAAAGCATATGCCGCGATGCGTGTCAGAGAATGTCGACGGTCGACGGTTGTATGTTTTCCCTCGTGCTGCATATCGAGCGTGGCAGACACTGAGGGAGACGCCACCAATGAAGACGCTGATGGAGTCTACGCTAACTTGACTGAAACTAGGTGGCATAGACAATGTGCTCGACCACATGCCACACAAGCGAAACAAATTGTTCAGACTGTGACCTTTTGTACGCACAGCTGTGTGTGTGTGTGTGCCTGTGTGTGTGTGGGGTGTAGGTGTGTGTCTGCGTGTGGCCTCAGGTAGATAACGTCGTCCGTTAGGCTCGAATTCTTGTGAAATGTGTATTTGAACCGCGCCCGATTATGGGTTAAGTTAAGAGCAGATTATGTGGCTGATGAAATTGTTTTTACTTTTGTAATGGAATAATAACAAACAATGGTATAAACCGCTTAGCCAATGCCGAAAGCACACAAGAGAGATACTTAAATTAAATAAAATACCATGTATTATCATACCCGAAAACTTCTGAAGTGTTCTTCACAACTTACACTTATAGTTAAATAGAAGCTTAAAAGATTTCTAGGCAAACACTCAGTTATACTCTGCCCCTTGGCAAAATAAGAAGGTATTTGCTTTGTAAAATGCCATTCTCTGCTTGCACGTTGCCTCAGCCACAAGACTTTTCATTAGTGCAAGTGCTTCATATTTTACACATTCAGACGCACTCCCCTACGTGCCATACGCCGTTGCATAAGCGCTGGCGGACAACAATGCAAAATAAATAAGGTGAAGAGGGATGCCGAGCAAACGGAAATGGCAAACAAATCTCAGCCTTCGCACGAAAAAAGAGTATGAGCAATTTTCGTGACTTTGTCAAAATTTGGATACCCTTGCATGCATACATACATGGAACGTTGTTTTGAGAAAGCTAAAAATCAAATCGTAGAATTATACTATAACTTTTTATGATCCGAGCTAACCGAGTAAACTATATTTAGGAACCTACATGGAATGAACAAGTTGTACTCAGCAAATTGGAAATGCTGAGAGCACAAAAGTACTTTTTGCATAAAAATGACCGCATAAGTTATAAGACTCTCTGCAAGGGTATAAGAAAAGCACTTTGGCGCGTCATATGCTGCCCATAAATGTGGGGCAGCATGCAGCGAGTACGAATGGATGGTATTGGCATTGCAATGCATTTAGCAATCAACTCACGACTCTGCAGTTGAAGCCACAATGGCAGTCGAAGCACTGCTGAGTTTCTGCCACAACTTTGACTGACATTCGGCGTTGCGCATACGCCGCGTTGCACATGTAGCTGCTTCAGGGTGATGGTGGTGATGCTACTACTACTGCAACCAGTTGGCGACCAGCAAACAGTAACTGGCAATGGGGCGTGTGTTAATAATGCGTGACATAAACTGAAGCTCAGACATCCTCTCAGTTGGTTGACTGCTCGATGCGACGTGCACGTGAGAAAACGAATTGAGTTGAGCATTTTAAGTGACAGCAGTAAGACGTCTGTCGCATAAGTCCAAAGAAATGGCAGTCGCTGTTGCGACATTGTCATTGTTTTATTGACATACCAATGTACCAATGCACACACTCAGAATCTCTCACACAGCTTCACACACACAATACTTACGCCTGGCTGCTTTTTACATGAATAACATTTAAATTTTTGCCTTTTAATATGCAAATAAATGCTACAAACGGCAATGGGAAGGAGCCAACAAATTCAAAACTCCCTCTTACTCTGCATAATTTTAACCTGTGTGTGTGTGTGTGTGTATATGTGAGAATTTCAATTTCCGCCTTGACACACACATACAGCAGTGTGTGTGTGTGAACTAAGCTCACTGCCAATTGCCGCCAATCAAAAGAAAACCAAAGTCGAAGGACGCTGCTGGCAAAGCGTTACTGATTTTTGAGGAAATTAAATGAAATTGATTTTAACCCCAAGTGTGAGAGTTCAGTTATACATATTTGTACATTCCTGTGTGTATGTATATGGATGCGAGGACAATATCCGTTGGGGCATACGAAAAGTAACTTTGTATATATTTCACTATTTAAATATGTGCACAATGTTTTAAATTAAAACTTACTTCCGAGGGTGTCACAAGAGACAGGAAGAAATATATCTAGAGATAGAGAAACAGAGGGTTGGGATTAGGGTTGTGAGAGGCAGATGCCTGGTTGTTACATTTAAGCTGCTGTTCTTTGCAAAGCTTAATCTCCGTAAAAATAATTACAAACTGCAATTATTAGCCTCAAATTGGCTGTACAGAAAACGCGTTAGCAAAGCAAATCCAATTAAGTGAAAAGCGTGTGTAAGCCCAAGATTTTCTTTTCCATTTTTCTTTCTTTCTCGTTCTCGTTCTCCTTCTTCGTCTCCTCCACTCTTTCAGTTGATGCGCACTAAACGGCAACAACTTTTGCTAGGAAAGTTGCAGTAGCTGCCCCTGACATGTCTTGCACCTGCGGATGATTATTGTAGGGCTCAGATTGCAGGCCTTATTCTGTAGCTGTTGTTAAAGTTTTTTTTATATACTATAGTTTGCTTTGCATTTTATTATATTTGCTGCTCGACAATCGAGCTTGAACTTTAATTGGCTTAGTAATCATAAGAATAACGGTCACAAGTATCTAATAAAACTACAGATTTTCTGCAATTGCTGTTTGCTGTTGCCTTTTTATGGCTGCTACTGTTTACTGTCACAGTTGCTAAAATTACTTGCGGGAGTTAAAAATTAAGGTAAGAGATTGGAAAAAATGAGAGGAGAAATCTGAATAATAGCTGTGCGAAAGTGCATTAAGAATCAGGGATATTATTTTCTTTGGAATCATTTGTCTGCTCGCACTTTTTGTACAGCCGTCGTATTCCGGTGAGTTTGAAAACATTGTGCCATTTAATGAAAGTGAAAAAGTGTTGCAAGTGAATGACCATTCGGTAGTCAAGAAAACTATTTCAATTGAGGTAAAAAATAAGCGACAAGGACATGCCGGCATTTTCATTTCTCTTTTCACCATCATACTATCATTTTTTTTTGTGTCTTTGTGAATTGTCGCTGAGATTCAGAGAACTTTTTTATGTTTGCTGTTTAAATTGCAGCATGAAAAGAATTTTTGTGTTCACATTTCAGCTCTCATCTTTCATTCCTTTTGGTCTTCGGTGTTATTTTTTTGCTTTTTTTTTTTCCTTTTTCTTTTTGCTGGTGTCAAGTGCGACAAGTCGATGTGGCAAGCTCTTCACTTGACCAGTTCTGTACACCTTTGCCATTGATAGCATTCGAACATGACTAAGTTTCATTTTCATGCAATTTGAACCAATAACGGCTGGTTGCTCCAGTTGTGTGTATTTGCGTGTTTGTGTGGGGCAAATGTGTGTCTGTTTTCGTATTAGCCTATGTGCTTAGCTGTGTAGGCATGATTAAGAAACAGCTGTTCTTGACCAAAAGCATTTGTCATAGCACCACAGCTTGAGCTGGCTAAGTGGCGTGAATTGAGTATAAATGGTACGATCCAATCGCAATCGGCTAACAAATACTAAGCAGCATGCATCAGTGTTGCAAGCACTTACTCGCCACAGTTTCGTTGCTGTTGCTGCAGCAAGTCTACTGCCAAAACGAAACTACAAATTATTGTCAAACAGGACTGTGCCCCACACTTAAGAAGCACATTGCCTGCAAAGCCAAAGTGGTGAGTAAAACATAAGTAACTCGCCGCATACAGCTGATCGTCTTATTGAACTGCAGGGTATGAGCAAAGTCTGTCCGTCCGCACAGCAACTGAATCTTACCCAGCATCAGCCACTCATTCTCACTCAGCATAACTTGCAACGTAATGTGCTTGCCTCTGGCAAGTTAGAGAACTTCAAGATGCCCGAAAAAATGGCCACAATTCAGTGGAATGAGGAATTGCAGCAGCTGGCGCAGCTTAATGTAATGCAATGTGAACTGCACTATGATCAATGCCACAACACTCTTGAGTTTCGGAATTCCGGTCAAAATGTGGCAATGCAAAACGCTTCCGATAGAACGGATGAGGACCTGATCAAGGATAGCATTGATCGCTGGTGGGATCAGTACAAAAACATAACACGGGAGCAAGTGGAACACTTTCCCAAAGAACCCAAGGTTTTCGAGTGAGCATGTGTAAATGCAATTAATAAACTCCTTTTTATCTGGCACGCTTTCGACAGGTCCTTTCGCAATTTTGCTGTGATGGCACGCGATAACAACACACATGTGGGTTGTGCAGCCACACGATATACCAAAGGACAGGCACAACTCTTTCTAATGGCTTGCAACTATGCAAGCAACTTTATACCTGATCGTGCTCTATATAGACCAAAAAGTTTGAACTGCCAGAACGGCTTTGACAGAACTTATCTCGCATTGTGTAAGATTGGCGAGCAGTACAGAGATATTGAGCCACTGGAGCCCAACAAGTAGGGAAACTAAACAAACAAAATAAATACATTTATAAATAAACTATGAATAAATATTGTCCAGCCAACTATATGCTTTTAAAAACAATATTCCACGCTAGTCAGGTCCATTTAACATGATGATTTGTGTCAATTTGTTGGGCAACCATATATCATCGCCATTATGACAGCCGCCTACATATGATGATGGGGGGAGGCAGGGCCAGCTCATCACCATTCACACACGGCATCATCCCATCACCATCACCATCATCATAATTTTTAGGACTGCAGCTAAAATATGATACCCGATGTTTCTGAGGCCGAGACTCGGGCACGACGCGTCGTCGTCGACAAGTTGGCATCTAATTTTAACGTCAATATACGGAATGTAAAAACGTGTCTTCATCAGTGTGCCACAGTTCGTAATCTGCCGCTACGTCCGTCCTTGTCTACAAATCCACCACACCACAGACCACCCCCTTCCCGTGTCTTGCTGCCTGCTGTACTCTAGCCTGCCCCCACACAGTTTTAAGTGCCTATTAATAATGTTGGCCTGGCCTGGCTGAGGCAATTTTTTTGTTCGTATCTTGCTTTGCTTTATTTTTAGTGTACATCGTTAGCAACCATCCTCTTGCGTTCTTCTGCGTTTAATATGCCGTTATGTCGTCAAATCTCGGGATCATTAAAACCAAGCAAAGAGACAAAAACAATCCCAGCCAAATGAAGAGCTCTTAAAAAGTAATTCTACTTTACTTTTGTCACATTTACAGATAATTAATAGACGCCCTAATGGCGGCTACCTTAAATATGTCCCAATTAAATCCAATCCAGGTATTAGCCAGGTAACTAAAAGCCCTCGCACAGTATACAATAAACACTGTCCACTCTGTACAATTGCAATGCATGCATAAATTACTTTATTAGTGCATCTCATGAAATTATGCGCACTTCTTGTTAATTATGTTGTAAATTTGAATTGTTCATTTGGCAAATACAATTTGCTATGGTAATGCTCATTAAAAGCATGTAAAACCATTGTCACCGTATTTTGTGATGTGCTGCGTAAAAACATTCTAATAAAAAATTAAATATATGAGAGTAGCGCTGCATATATATATAAAATTTAATTTCGCTCAGCGGCATTGCTCGGGCATATGAGAAAATGGCAAAGTTTCTTTCTAGAAAAGCATTTAATGGCATACTCGACTTTTTAAATGCATACTAAAAGTTAATACTATAATTTAAAATTTTAGAGTGCTTTAAAAGTTCGCTTTATGAATATACTGATACTTATAGAACACTGTTTTTAATCGCTTCCATTATATAAACACAGTTTTCATGTACATTTAGGAACTTTTTTTGCTAAACTGTGAGCTTTTGTAAATTAATTATATAGTTGTTGGAAAATTTTAAAATACATATATTGTATTTTTACTCAATAATTAAATATTATATTGCTAAAAGTTTGTATGCCATCTAAATACACGTTCATTCTTATTTATTTTTATATACCTATATATATATCATCCAAATAGTTTGTTTTGTTAGTTCGACAAATTATATATAGCATTCCTCGCACAGTTGTTGGAAAAAATCGTATTTTTATATGTTTTAAATGGGGGTCCGGCGACACCCTTCAGATTTTATTGTTGATGTGATTTTTGGGGTCTCTGCTATGCCTGCTCGTAAAATTTCAATTAATGCTCGAAATACAGTAAACAAAATATGGCATTGGCTCTATTTTGGCGTTTTGTTGCGTTAAATGTGGTCGAGTTTAAACAAGTTAGTATAATAATAGATTGAATTGAGCATAAATTACAGAAGCGTGCTTGGGGCTGAGAACAAAGCATGCATGATTTAGTGTGGCCGAAATAAACGTCATTTGAATGTTTAATGAGCACTCAAATGTGTCAGCACGCTAAATGAAAATTTATTTAATTATGATTCGGACAGCCCAATACCCAGACACAAATGAAAAGTGACCTATCATAAATGTAAAGCTTGCGACGAAATATTTTTGTCATGCAAAGTGTATCCGTAAGCAGCAAAGAGCATGCCAAATGCCTAAAAAGGCAATCAAAAGTTGCCCAAAGAAATTTGGAGGGCAAGACAACTTTTGATTTATGAAATTTTTGCTAAAAATACAAATGCCATTTGATGACATTTGTTGTTTGTTTGTATCGTAAACAAATTCTCGAACAAGTCCAATAAAAGCCGTAAGGGACTTTGATTTATCATCCAGCTGGAATTCCCTGAATGAATGCTGCGACATTAAAGCGGCCGCAAATGTTTTTTGTCTGCCCATGCAAATATCATATAGGCCATAATAAATAAGGCAAATAAAACTTTAGCCAAGCCGATGATCAGCATAAAGGATTGTCAAGTTTTTTGCGTATAACTTTTTGGCAATGCAAATTACGAAGATATTTGGTCAAATTTGGGATATACGGATAACTACCACTTATACACATGTGAGCATGTGTTGGCCACAAGCATAACATTTGGACCACAAAACATCCCATTGCCGGCTCATTTATTTTATGGCTGCGTCGCTTTAAGTTATTTCTCTTCATTATATTTTATATGCAGCTGGAACCCAACCTAAAAGCAACCGACGGCTTTGGGCAATCAGCGCAAATGTTACGTTTGTTTGCCCATACAATTTTATATATATATATGTGCAGAAAATGTCAAATGGTCGCCTAATCTGGCTATCACACATACGACCCGTTGTGCGTTCTGTCGCTCGCTCATTTGCAGTTCGTCAGTTCATTTCAGGGAGCTTAGCGTACAGTTCATTAGCGACGTCCAAACTTGCCTTATTAATCCTAAAATCCTCAGAGGAGCAGGCGCCAAGACAAAACCCCAGAAATGACCGCCAATCGCCAATTCGACTGTCGACAGTTATCATTAGGTCCTGGCATAAACAGCAAATTAAGTTTTACTGTTTCATATATATTTGGTACTCAGCATTCCGGCCAGCTGGTTTTTGGGGCTGCTAACTTTTAGGGCCTCGTCTATGACGCGTTGTGTGAATGTTTCCGTTGTGCCGTGGTCTGTGTAATTTCAGCTGGTCCTATTGACATTTGATTGTTTGTAATGAACTGCGTACTGTGCTTGGTAACCAAATAAATAACACATTATTGTGGGCGGTTCTTGATTGGTCTGCTTCAAGAGGTATATTACCCTGACATTTGTGTATTCGCAAGCAATATAATAACAGTAAAAGTATTGACAATGTATGTAATTAACGCTTTAATTACTAATTATCTAACCTTGGAGTGCCAATAATTTGAAAATCTAATCAACGAGTTCAAGACCCGTGTAAATGTCACTTCTAATTATAGCAATTAACTATCAGAGACTTACTTTATAAGCATTTTCATTTTTGAATTTAATATCAATTCGCATCCATAGTATTTTTTATCTTTGATTCAAACTGATTTATTGATTGATTTTATTGTGCGAGTTAAATCTTTATCCAAATATTTGACGTCATGTGAAGTTTTCTTGAATCTAAACTGAACTAACTTTGCTAACCAATTTCATGTTTGACTCAGTGAGAGTGCGAGTGATTTATTTTGACTGATTGTTTCTCAGTTCGCTAGCAGCGCAAATTGTGCGGCAAACATAATTCAATTAACGCCTGGTCAGTGTTCACACGCGAACAAACAAACTTACAACTCCACACACCCATACACACACACACACTAACACACATGAACAGACGCTGGACCATTGGTCGCTCTGATTGACGGTCAATGACGGACGGCCATGCAAATGGCCGGAAAGTGGATCTCTACAATTTTGCAATTTCCGCCGCAGCACAACATCAAACAGAAAACTCTTGACGCTCTTAGCTCTATTTCTTTCTCTCTCTTACCAACTCTGTCAGACTTCTTTTGATGTGTGAGTTGTGTAAATATTATTTTTTTTCTCAAATTGTGGGCTTCACGCCTACAATTTTATTAAATATATATATTGGTTTTTTGTTATGAACATCGATATATTTGCATTTGCTAAATGAAATATAAACAGTGGAGAATGATTTTTTGTATCTTTTAACCGTGAAAGGGAAACTATTATGAATATTTAATTTAAAATAATTGACAGTTGCTGTTGCCATTTATTGTGGCATGTCAAGCATATATTGAGTTTTAATATACGTTCAGTTCGCAGCAGTTGCCTCGAATAGAATCACTTTCATGCTTTCATGAAAGTAATTGCAAAATCTAATTAGCATTTCTCTGCTGTTACTGGCACGCCCACAGATGCCATGACTGAAATAATAATTGCTGAAAAAACCCGACGACAAAAGTATATTAATAAACATCAGCAGTGCAAAGAGAACAAAAATTGTTCGGATATGCTCGCTTCAAAACTGGACATGCAATGAAGCGCACACGCAGCGGCAGCAAACTTAAGTTGGGGCGGCACACTGGACAGCCGCCCTCAACGTTCACTTCCGCTTCCGTTCGTTGCCGGTACACATTATTCACATGTTGTCGTGTTGCTTGTGACCGGTTGCCTTGCATGCACTTAATAATAACCGAGCTCTGGTCAACGACATCAACATCGACATCGCCCTCGGTTCATAGACAATGCATTGTATTCTTTGGCTCGCATTGTCAATAATGCATATTTAATCAGGTGTAAAGTTCCTGGAACTGTTTAACCTATTGATTTTTCACCATATTGACATACATTTCCATGAAAGTGTCATGCAACAACTGCAAAATTTTAATGAAGGTAATCAAATATCCGATCAAAATACTCAACGTCTCCTTGTTAGATTTGCATACTGATTCAAAGTGGATTACAGTCAAAGTTCATAATTTTACTCAACTTGATGAAGTCCTAGTCTAGCTTTGCGACAGTCAAAGTATGAAGGGGAAAGGTAGAAAAGGCAGAAACCATATTCATTTGCAATTTGATTTGCAAATAACTATAGAAACATGACAGACAACTCAACTTGAAGTTGAGACATAAATACAAAAGTCTGCTCTGATGCGGAAAATGGATATGGATTTGAAGGCTCCGGAAAATATTCACATTACTTAAATCCAAGTAACGGTTCAAGAACAATCTGTTTTATTAATACTTATTCCACAATTCAGAGTTTTTCTGCGCTCATCCACCCATCAGTTACTCAAGAGGTGATGTGCCTGTAGGCAATAAAAAAGTGCAACATTAAATGGGCGTTTCACATAAATAAAACAGTTGAAAATTGGGTTAAAAATTAACTACACCAAATTAAAATCAACTGCGTGGGGCCCACAGGACCTGGCATCGTAGTTGCTGCCTGTCAGCGAGTCCTGCCGCCGTCGAGACTCGTAAAAAATCGACTCATTGCCGATTTTAGCCTGCCGGCCTGCCTGCCTGCCTGTAAGCCATAAATAAAGCCCCACAAACATTAATAACTCCCAATGGGTGTGTTAACCGGCAATGACCAAAAGAGGGCATGCCTGGCATGAATTTGGACTACGCTTTGGTTGCTGCCCCTTTCCACTTTGCTCCTCTCCTGCCTTGCGCACCACCAGTCTGCATAAATTGCAGTGAAAATGGCACAAAAAAGCCTGGGTACGTTGTCGTTGTTACTTATTGTTGCTGATTTTGCTGTTGCTCTCTATGAAAAACGATGTGCAACAAAAGTAACAAAAAAGGAACAGGTAAAATATGACGCATACATAAGGTGCGCCCGTGGCCCGAAAGTGCTGCTCTGCAAGCAACGTGTAATGCATGTAAGACAATCATTTTGACAAGGCAGCAGCAACAACAGCAGCAGCAACATTAGCAGCAACAGCAGCAACGCTACTGTGTTTACACTCTGCCTCCCAGCTACGGCGCTGTCTGGCCCTGGCACCAAGTTACTCATTGGCCTGTCTCTCGCCTGGCTGCCTTTTGATTATTATGCACTTTGATACTTATCTTTAATTGAGGTAACATTTTACCTGAAAGTTGCTGAAAGGATTTTTTTGTTTTTTTTTTTTATATTTTATGCTACACTTAACTGGGAATCATTTTGTCGTGTTCGCTTATTTTTTAATTTACTGAAAAATGTACCAACGATGGTGGTCATCATTTTAACATTGGGAGTTATTTTGCATTGATAAGGATTATATATAAATAAATTATTTTATCAGAAACAAAATACATACAACAAAATATTAAATGAATGAAAAGAGTATTAAGGTTTCATTGCAATAGTATTATTTTTCACTTTACTTGTCTGGTTGCATTGAGTTTACTTATTAAGTAGGGAAGACCATTTTGAAGACAGCCGTATACACACACACACATACTTACTCTCTCGCAGAGACACCCCCGCACACACTCCGAAAACACATACAAATACAAATACTAAGCGTTTTATGGCCATTGTTGCCAATGCCGTTTGGCTTCTATGAGCTGAGCTCACAGCTCAGGTCTACTTACGTGTAAAACCCACAGCTCTGTTGTAATCGTGTGCACCATGCAGTTCGTATGAATCGTTTTGTCGTTAGACGTCTGCATCGGATGCCAAAGCTAATTTTACGTGAAATGAGTCCCCAAGCTATGCATCAATGATTCATTATGAGCCGTTGCGGGGGGTTGCCACAGGAGAAAAGCCAGAAACTGCACAGCACGGCATATGCAAATGAGCAATGAGTGCGGTCACGGTTAGGGTTAGGGCTGACGCTGACTGTAACGCTCTGTTGTTCTGGTCATTGATGGCCGCAGTGACCTCTCTACCACAAATCGAATCAATCATAAATTGTCAACGGCTGCCCTTTCTACTCCCCGCACCGAAATCTGTTTGACCCAACTCTGTGTACTTTGTTCGTATACGTAATATTTAAGCTGCTTTTGTGTGAATGCCCATGGTCATTGTTTGACAGCGAACTTAATTGATTTATAGCCTAAATAAAATAAAATATTGTATACATACAACATGGGTTGTCTCTTTAATTAGTGCCATAAATACTATTTATTGTGCCTTACCATTTATTTCAACTGTCCACGTATTGGTCTCATAATGTTGGAATAGGTTTTTTTCTATTAAATTCCAGTTGGAACTGAACTTAGTCAACGACAGTTGCTGGAAAGACCATTGCATAAGAGCAGGCAATAGCATGCTGACTACATTTCCATTTGCGTAGCCGGAGAGGTGGGCATTAAGCCACCTGCCCGTTATTTACTATTTTATAAAAGCAATACCCATATGGCCATCGAGCCAGTGGAGACCTGCTATTTGCATTCACTTCGTTGGAGTGTTTGCCTGGCCATTCGTAGCCTCATCCATTCCTGCTGCACAATCGTCCGGCTAGCCAGCACATTTTAATCCTGTCAAAGGCGTTCTTATAGTGCTTCGGGGGCAGCACTCTTAAAGTTTCATGGAATTTACCAGCTGCCTAACAGCACAGCAACAAATGAGATGTGCCTCAGGCACCTGGACTAAACGACACTTGGCTGCTTGAGTAAACAAGACTCCTGATGCAAGCAAGTAGCACAAATTTGATTGGCATTGGACCACAGAAATGCCATCCTATAAATCAGTTTCGAATTTTGCTTTTAAAACGAGTGCAATTTGAGGTGATCAATTTAGTTGGGAAAAGTACTTTAAAAATTTAAAAGTTCACATCACCATAGTTGAATGTGGGATACTTTAATTAAATTTATCTTATGGAATTGTTGTTGTCTGTAGCTTTCTCTTCAATTTTCCATATGGTTAGCATTCTTTGTGGCACATAGTTTGTGGCTTCTCAATTGTCAAATCTCTTCTGACATTTTGGTTGGAACTTTGTTCATTTGTTATTGTTGTTTCAGTTGTTTATGCCTTTATTGTTGCTAACATTATTTCAGCTCTAAAAAACTTGCACCCTGCTTTTTGCCCTTTTTATGACGCCTCTCAATTTGACATGACCAACTTTATGAGCCTCTCAATTTACCAGCCCGTTTTTTATTTATGCCGCTCTTTGCCTTTGGGCCAAATGAAAATTTCAGTTTACAGCTTTTTGTTGCCATTCCGTTATTTTCATTTTTATTTTTTTTGTTTGTTGTTTTTGGTTTTGTTTTTTGTAGCACAGCATAAACATTAGAACACTTCATAGTCAGCACTCTCGGTACATTATAAAAACCATTGCGTTTTCATTACACAAATGCCGACGCGTCGTGTAATTACAAAATTAGCCCCTGCCAGCGGCCCATAAATGAAATGCACAACAATCGGCAACAAACCGGCAACAACCAGGAACAGCAACAATACGAACTAGAACTGGAACTCCATGAGGGCACACTTGAGGAGTCAGCGAGGCACTGGCAGTTGCCACCGACACTTGAGACCCGGCACAATGACTGTGTCATTTGCGCAATTTTATTTTAAGTTACACAAGCAGAAGGAGAACACAAAATAAATACAGCTAGGTCGTGCGTGTGTGCATGTTCGGGTTGTGTCATCCTTTTAACTTAACTGCAATTAGTATGTATTAAGGTTGAGTTTCGGTATGGCCGTTTCCTGTTTCCGTCCTGATACTTTCTTGAGTTCATTTTGGCGCCATTAACAATGTCCTTGACAGGGCATAGGTCGCCAAGTGTCTGTTGTCCTGCAGGTGGCTTAACTGATGTTATATGTTATATGTTCATTTGAGTACAGACGAAATTGCTATCAAGTCTCGCGTTGAACAGCACTGATGGCTATTCACAGCGCCAATGGAAAATAACGCATTAAGATTTTTTCATTATCCAAGTGTATTTATATACATGTATATTTTGATTTCTCTTTTATGTGTTTTGCAGGCCTTACATTGTGCTACCAGCGGCAATCTGTGAGCAACAACAACAATCACAATAATGCGGATTCAAAGCCAACACATTTGCCACCATTACATTATCCGCACGGCCACAAATGGAATGAGCCCTATTTCGATCTGACAATGCCAAGGAATATAACATCCCTTGTGGGCAAATCCGCATATTTGGGCTGCCGTGTCAAGCATTTGGGCAACAAGACGGTGAGTACGACACTCGCAAAAGATGAAGATAAGCTTTAATACAAATCATAAGATAGCTATCTAGCATGTGTATATAATACAACAGCAGCTTGTCGTAGTTGTAGAGGAAAGCACAGACTGAAGAGATAAAGTAGAAAAACAAAACAATGAAAAAAAAAGCATATGACACAAGTTTGGGTAATCAAAGACAACTCGACTCTGGCTGCGGGGGAGTCTGTTTTAATAATGTTTATTTTTATTTACATTTAATAAACAAAAATGTAGCGACAAGTGTTGGCAATATGCCGACCATCTCAGATAGTTGGTATATAATATTGGCATAGGACACATGTGTGGTGCCTTTGTGTGTGTGAGTGTGTGTGTGTGTGGTGGCCATAATAACAGCTGCTTATTAAATTTACTGTCAGTTTATTATGTAATACGTGACGCTGAAACAATGAACCGAAGTAAGGGCACCCAATACATGCCAACACATGTTGTCCGTGTACCCTGTCCAGATATTGTCATTATTTTTATGGCGTCACTTGATTTCCGACAGCCTAGTACAAAAACTTTGCTTAACGGTCGCATAAGGTACATATACATATTGGGTTGGGTTGAGTTACGGCCCCCTGGTTATATTTTCTGGTAGGCAATTAATGTCTCATTTTCCAAATTTCCACTGACTCGAGGAGAAGCACTTTAAGTTTTGTATATTCTCGCTTGAAGGCTTATTCTGGACAATTACTTAACACAGTATTGAATTTCAGCAATCTAATTAAATTGGTTGCCATGTGAAAGGCTGTCGGGTAATGGACTTCACAACCCAGGGGCTTGGGCGAGTCACGCAGTCAGTCTACCAATGTCCTGACTGACACCGCAGCACAATCTGTCACTGAGCAGGACATGAGCCATAGCATTTAAAGTAAATTCGATGCGATTTAACAATCATACACATCCGTAAACACAAATAGGTACTGCATTGGGCTGTGGTTCACACTTCAGCATTGCGGGCATATTTGCGCACATGCAAAATACACATGCGGCCTGCATGTTATCATGAGAAACGTTGCAGGTGCTCCTCGTTTGGGGCCAGAAGTTGTAAATGCTCCAGCGTTGATTACGTTAAGCGATTTAGCGTTGGTTTTGGCACCCTGGACTGGGGTCATAGATTTCCACGTAACCAAATCCGCTTCCGCAATCAGTAAACTACAGACACACACACATATACACACACTCATCTAGACAGAAACAGTACGACAGAACTGGGGAATGTGAGGCAAGCTTCTCTAGTTAACTGGCGGCTCGTTTTTGGCCAACGGTAAATTTATGTTGCCAGTGCGGCAAAAACTCGGAAAAAAGTTTTTTTTTTTTTTTTTTTGCAGGCTTGGGCTGTTATTGCAGAATTAGACAGACGGCAACTGAAACTGCACAGATGGATGCCTGGCACAGTTGGCTGACTCTGACGCAGTGTCTGTCCATATGCCTGTCTGTCTGTCTGTTTGCCTGCCTGTCTACCAATGTGTACATGTGTATGTGTATTGGTTATAGTAGCAGTTGGCCACCGCATAAACAAGGCGCCCAAGACTTGCCAAAAAGGAGCAGCGCTGAAAAAAAAGAATGAAATATATAAAATTTACAAAATGAAGTGGCCAATGCGGAAAGGAATGTCGAGGTTGAGAGCACGGAAGTATCATTTTCCGGCGCTGTCATGCGTGGCGCACACTAATTTTCAGTTATTTAATATTTAGATTGCGAGCTGCATACCATTTTGGTCTTTGGTGCTGCTGACAGTGAGGTGGACACCGAGTCTAACCAAAACATTAGCCACCAAATTGACACAAGTTTTTTCCTAGCTCAATCAAAATGCAAATCAGCGTTTAGTGGCCAAGGAATCTGCTCAAAAGGCACTTAATGATGTATTCAAACAATGTTATTCATTCTCTTTAACATATAAAAGCAGTAAAAGCCAATTCAAATGTAGATAAAATCGAGTTATATTAATTTATATGCTTATAGTTAGAGGAGGACTTTAAATAAATGGATTCCTATTTGTATAATTTAGAGTGTTTCAAAATCACAACTATTTAATTTTAACTTTAAATGCTATATTATACTACAGGTCAAACCATGATCAAAATTCGATGGTCTTTGAACATCGGATTAGTTTTGAAAAGTGCAGTTAGTTCAATATTTCAACCATGTTTAACAATAAACTGTTATAGTCTAACATTTATTCTTGAATCTATATTATGAATTAAGCAGTATTTCGTAAATTACAATTTCCCGGATCCCTATGCTTCTTATATATATATATATATATATATTTAACCCTAAGACATAATTCGGATCTTAATCCACAGGTCGCCTGGATTCGGCATCGCGATCTGCACATTCTCACTGTGGGCACATATACTTACACAACGGATCAGCGTTTTCAGACCTCTTATCATCGCGATATTGATGAATGGACATTGCAAATCAAATGGGCCCAGCAGAGAGATGCTGGCGTTTATGAATGCCAAATATCAACCCAGCCGGTGCGCAGCTATTCGGTCAATTTGAACATTGTGGGTGAGTGGAAACAAAAAATTGTGTCATATTATGCTCCATATATGTACACACATAAAACCCGAACTTTTAAATATATACACGTATATCTGACAAGACAACGACTGCAGGGCTTCTGCGATTTTTCAACTGCTGCTGGGGCTGCCAGCGATTTCATAATATTTTGCCACGTTATTCATTTATATTATGTGCATATTCATGCAATTTGCAAAAGTGTAAATTATGCACACTTGACAATCTCGCAATAAAACTACGCAAAAACAGCAGCAGCATCAACAGCTGCGAATATAAAATAAATGGACATCACTTGGCAGGTGGGAAAGGGTGACAGAGTTGGGCGAAATTTTTTGTTGGCTTTCCAAATATATGGGAAAAATTGAAGCGCCAGCGAAAAGCGGAGAAAAGCTACCGTGGTCAAAATGATATTGAATATTATGGATAGATCTGTGATGAAATTGGATCTACCCTACTGTGAAAATATCAAAACAAAAGCTGTTAAATCGATTCACATTCTGATTTATCTGTTTTCATATGAAACAAGATCACCGAAAAATCTGCGTCTGGTGCATGTTGGAGCCTGTTGATTAAACCATTTTCGTTTTATTCATACTTCAGAATTTCGCACAAAAAAAAATTGAAACTATCGTTGAAAAATTTATTTTTCATTATCTAATTTATAATTTTTTACATATATTTTAAACAGTCCAAAATTGGTTTTGTTAAGTACTTAGAGCAAATATTTTGATTACAATTTTACATATTTTTTTACTATAATTTATACTTTTTTTTATTTCATGTTCTTTTTTGTGTTCTGTATCTTACACCCAACATTCACAAACCAGATATTATTGATGAGGAGACGAGCAGCCTGATGCAGCAATATTACAACGATGACGCATTCTACATTGCCGCGGATCGGGTTTATCAGTCGAGTGATGACGAGTTTGCTGGCATGTTTGGACCCATCCAGACTGTTGCGGGTTTGTTGAGAAATGTGACACAACAGCAAATTCAGATAGTTACAGTTGGAGGAGCTGTTACCTGATTATTGTCAAGCATGCATTCATGATATTTTTTTTAAATATTTTTTTTTTTCATATCTTTCGCGTCAGACTTATGCACTTTTCAGTCAAGTCGTTTAGTTGGGTGCAACTGGGAGAGCTGTAGAGTCAAGTGTTTTTGGTTAGGGAAACGTTTTTCTCGCTCATAACGAACAAAGTGCCTTCCAAAATACTTTTTTTGGGTAACTTGTCCGCTTGTTAGTTTTGACATTTTACTTTGCATACTTTTTTCATAGAAAATATTGTGGCACAAATGTTGCAGTCAAGTTTAATTAGAAACCAAGAAGAAACTTTCCAGATTGTTTGAAAGGGAATACTCCAGATTATTATTAACATTTTAGTCGCTTATATCAGTCAGCATCTTGCATAGTTTTGGATAATCTTCGCTGATCCCATGGGGACAATTCTTGTCTGCAAAAGTGCCCTTCTTATAGATTGGCGCCATCGCTTCAATCCGATTATTATAGTAGCAGATTAGTACAAATCGACTGGCAGCCCGGTCAGAATAATCCGCCGCTGCACAACCCACAAATTGGTTTTCGTCATTCAGTATATTCCTGATCTCATGGACTTCATTTCCAAATAAATGGCCCTGAGCAAGCTTATAAACCTGATGCGTCCACTGCTCCACTTGGGCAGTAAGTTTCTCAGAGTTCGGTGATGGCGTGTAGCTGGGAAGAGATTGTGTATCCAGTAAATTTGAGCCATAGTTAACAGCCGGATCTGGAAAGTTGGTCACGGCCATGCAGTACCTGAACATTGACTGCAGGCATCGTTTCACATGATACTCGGCTATCAGAGCCAGTTTTGAATGCCATTTCAACTCTGGCATGTGACTAGCCATAGGTAGACCAATGATGGTTCCGGCTGCCACATCCTCACGATATTTGTTGTGTATTTTGAGCAGGTAATTCCTATACATCTGCATGTTGACCAGCACGTGAGTATGCATGCAACTACTATGAAAAGTCTATAAAGGAATTAAATAATATTTCTTGTGCCAATCATATCAACTCTTACCAAATCATTCTCACAACCTAGATGCTGCAATCCATGGCATTCAGTCATATTGCAGAAATCTATAGCCAGACAAAATTCTGTACCCTCACAGAGCAAAAATAGAGCAACAACAAATTGCATTCGATGCATTCCAACTGTTGACCGCAAACGAACTGAAATTTGTAGCCAGGCGTGAGTGGCTTATATTGAGAATATGTGATCCAATCAAGATCTGCAAGTGTTTTACAACAAAGGGAATTATGGTTTTCGTTCCACATCAGTCAATTCGTAAATTAAGTATTTCCTATTTAGTCGTATTACATTTCTTTGTTGGGACTGTGTATACAAAAGTTAGTTAATTTGTCAGTCAAATAGAAGAATCACATTTGAAATATTTTCAAAATTAACCTTGATTACGACTAAGCAATTACACAAATTAATTTACTTTGGAATTATTTTGGGCACGTATAATTTTAACGAACAAACGTTAGCAAGTGAATGGAGTTTTGTTAAATACAGCTCTCTTTAGTCATCTTAGTTTTTCATTGCTCATTTCGCAGTCATCATGCGAAAACTGTTCATTTTCTTGTCTACTGATTGCAGCATGAGCGAAAACAATGTCATGTTGCTTTAGTGGCATCCACAACAAAATGTAAGAGTTAGGAGAAAAAAATGTCAGTGGCCGAAATGACAGAAGGCCGGAAATGACCAGTTAAGAATGAGCCAACTTGGGGCAGGTGCTAATAAATTCCAAGTTTATACGCTATTGTGTGGCTAGTTTACTTATTTTATAAAGTCACGTGGGTTGGAATTTTGTAACGATGATTTGCTGATTCGATTGGGCAACTCATTTCTCTTTCAGTCGTCTGTATGCATACAAGGACTCATGAATCTTTTCAACTACTTATTTTGCAGTTCCAACAGCAACGATACTCGGCGGACCCGACCTCTATGTGGATAAGGGCAGCACCATAAATCTTACATGCATCATCAAATTTAGTCCGGAGCCACCAACACACATTTTCTGGTATCATCAGGATAAGGTGAGCATCGTATCAGAATTCAATCAATTTATGAAAATGACGGGAAAGAAAAAAAAGTCGCTTTGTATATAAATTTAAATTTTTCTTTGCGCCTCAAATTATCTTGCAATAATTGAGTTTTGCCCTCGCACAAAAGGGCGCTGAAAAATCAGAGAATCCACACCCACGATTCACAGCACATGCACTCAAACTCAGAGTGAAACTCATACTCATACCGTAGCACAAGGTTCAGCCAATTGCCGCTGGATAAGCGTTTCAACTTTTACGAGCGCTGGGCGCATCTCGTGTTCACGCTTTTGTTTACGCTGCGTATACGTAGCGTATTTAATTTAAGCTTTTATGATTATGAGAAAACATGCTTTTGCATTTAGCTGCCTTCCCCTTGACTACTTGGGTGTTGCCAGGTCGCCCTACCACATGCCGTCTGCTAACCGTCCCCACAAATTCCTTTTTCAAGGCAAAGTTTACTGCGAAAATGTTTTAATACTTACCCACATATTTATTTACACAGGTGCTCAGCGAGGAGACTGCGGGTGGTCGTTTGAAATTTAAGACCATTAAGTCGGAGGAGACCAAATCAATCCTCCTCATCTACGATGCGGATTTATTGCACTCAGGCAAATACTCATGCTATCCATCGAATACAGAAATTGCCAGTATACGCGTCCACGTTCTCCAGGGTGAGTATACCGCGAATATGGGGAAATAGTCCAAATAGTTACTTGCATGCATGTGGGGCTCTGTGCCTGAAGTGAGCTTAAATTCTCAATAATATGGTGGTAATGGCTAGCAAATAAACTGAGAAATTGAATTAAACAGAAGCTGTCAACTTGCAGATGCAGTTGGAGGGCTTCCAACTCTGATAACTGCATGAAGAGCATTTGCAGCTACTACTTGACCTCTTTGGTCATGTACGCATATGTAACTGAAGAATGGAGGACACACTTAACATTGAGGTGGGACGAATGCTGTGCAATTTTTCATAGCTTGACAAACTTTATGCATTTTTGAACAACAACTTTAGTGAACTAACCGCAACAGGAATAAGTGCTCTGGGGGCTTTGTGGTTGGTTTGGGGTCGGTGTGGGGTCTGGCTGAATGTGTTTGCAGAAAAGTCCAACAAATTGTAACTCATTTATGCCATGTCTGCATTAATTTCTCTTCTGTGTTTGCTCATTTTGCACAGGCGAGCGACCCGAAGCAATGCAAACGAATGCAGCGCCAGCTGCTGTTGCACTGGCCTGGACCTGCCACACCAAACAGGCAACACAGGCAGTCAAAGTAATTAGCACAATGGTCGCGGTATTTGTATTGTTGGAGGCCTGCTGCACTCTGTTGCTCCAGGGATCTGGCGGTGGAACAACCGGAGGGGGAGGAGAAGAAGAAGAAGCAGGCGATAGAGTAGCTCGACTTGAGCAGAGTCAAACGGCAGAGGCGAACAACAGCAGCAGCATCTGCGATAGCGTTAAGCAAGCTATCCAGCAGACAACGTCAACGTCATCCGACCATGTCAATACAAGTAGGACAACTGAACGGTGATAAATTAAAGCTGCACAGTTTGCCAGCACCACGGAAATGCCACCGCCAATGCCGCAGCCAAGTCAGCGAATGTAACTAAGTGGCCAGCCCGCTGGAGAGCTATCAAGATGTGAAGCCTGGCTGTCGCACAAATGATGCAATGCAGCAGCACCAGTAACAGCATCAGCAGCAGGAGGATGAGCAATAGTAACAGTGATAATGACAGTGGCAGCACCCGAGAATAATACCACCAAAAACTGGTTAGCTAATTATGCTAATGATGAGCGGCTTTAGATGAGGCTTCCTTCGATGTTGTTGGTGCTTCTGCTGCTGCTGATATTGATATTGCTCCTGGTATACTCTCTAAGTTGTAAGTAAGTCAGTGTGTAGTTAAGTGGGTTGGGTTTAGCTGAGCTCGGGGCAATACCAGCTATGTACATAGTACTCTTACCTAAACTTATATGCCCACAGTAAGTTCATAGTAAAAACATATACTAAAATGAAATCATATAGTTGATATATTCGCAAACTCTGTAAGCGTAAAGAAACTTACCAATGGAATCTCCAATTGTTTAGGGCATGTTGCAATATTTTCATATATATTTAAACATTATTTAGCCTAACTTGTTGTATATATCGTTTGTTGTTTATACTCAGCATCAATTATACTAAGTTTTATAATAATCAACTGTATTTTTAAGACCTAGCTAATAATCAATGTAAATATTAACGATTATCTATTCTGAGGCAGTTAACTTCGATTATGAATTTTTATACATACATATATTTTTTATATTTTTTCACAATGTTCCTATAAGCATCTTATATTTCTTAAAGCTTTTCCTATGCCAGATTACTTGAAAATCAACAACTTTTAAGGAAACCAAGTCATTTCAAGTCATTAGTTTTCTTGTCATTTCGTTTGGAATGCGTTTTATATGTACTTTTGGTGTTAACTGTTGGGTTACTGCCTCTGTCTTTGGCAGGATTTCTAAATTGTTATGCTTATCTCCTTCTCCAAAAAATGTCATTCGCCTGTCATGAGTATCTCATAAAGTATCAAGGACATTTTGCCCAGTACCAAACTTTGCAGTTAGTTGTTAGTTTGTGCTCGGAACTTCTATTTCAGCATGCCCGGCTCCATTTCCCAAGAAAGCTGCAACTCACTTTGCCATTGCCTGTCAACAAAATATTTGCATTTCCATTTGCCAAGCTGTCCACTGAGGTATAGCGCCCAAGGCTTCAGTTAGTCTGAAAACATTTCGACCGGTTTCCGCCTGGGTCGATAACACATGGTTGCACAGGTACTCCATTTCCCAAGGCGTCTTCCTGCACCTCTGCAAATTGTTCACCCAGCGCTTGGCGCCGTTTAATGTGTCACATTTAAAAATGCATGCGACTGTCCACTTTAATGGGCGGACGACTATTAAATATCATGACCATTTGCCAGACAGGGCTGGACATTTAACTGATCAAAATTGTAAATAAAGTTGCATGTATGGTACGTATAAATTAACTCTGCTGTATTTAACTGAATGTGGTAGGAATATGTAAATGTATGTTCGCAAAGGGAAAACCATGTGCAGTCATAAATATTAATGTTAAGAATTAAAAATTATAAATGTATGCCAGCGAAATTAGTCGCGACATATAAATGAATGTTTAATGAGTAAATGAATGTTACTATAAACATTACGCAGATCACGAAAACCAAACATAATAACAACAACAATAATTGCAGTTAAGAGCAAAGAGTACATATATTGTGTGTGTAATACGTATGTATAAAAGTTAAGTTGAGTATTATAACCAGACATAATAATAACAATGAAATAAAAAAATAAAATTACAAAAAAAAACTACGCGCATATATAAATGAGATGATGATTATGACGAGGATGTTTTGTTGCAAACAAAATGAAAACACATTATAATTGTAATTATGATTATAAAGTTGTTTTTAGTGTTTAAGTCAGTAGCGCCAGCTGAGCGTTAATAAGCATTAGGATTAACTATGTTTATGAATAAAAGCGGCAAACATTTAAATAAAGTTTTTAGTTATTATGAAAATGATATATACAAAATACAAACAAACTCTGGTCTTTCTTTCTTCCCACTGATAATTTAAGCGTAGGGCTAAAAAAGTTATAATAAATTGCATCTACGTTGCGTATGAGTAATATAAACAAAATGGGACCAAACTCAGACTGGGCGCGTTGTGCCTAAAAGATTTATGCAAATATTTGGCACAGTCCCATTAGGACTCTTGCATTTTCCCAGAAAAACATTTTAACGGGCTGTACACAATAGACAAACCAAACCGTTAGAAGGGGTCCTGTTGCGGAGGCATTTTCATTTTTCAGCCTAATAAAGAAGAAGCCGAAAGTATGAAAACTTTTGACTGGACTCAGCGGGACGTCGGAGACTAGGCCAGTGTATGTGGTATGCGCATAAAATGCTGTCCCCTGTGTTTCCTGCACAGGCCATGTGTGAGTTCTAGCGGTATGGCATCAAAAGCCGTTAGCATAAAAGTTTATTATATGACAAGTAAGTACATATATTTGTATTCAGCTATGTGCTGAGCTGTACTCCGCTCCACAAGGCAAATAACGGCAATATCATGCCAAAAGTTTAATAGCGCAAAACGCGTCAAGGCGAATTGGCTGGAAACCGTAAGAAACAGCCGAGAACACTCAACGCATATGAAGCGTAAAGGTTTTGCCACTAAGAACAAGGAAACGGATACACCAAATAAAACCACGTAACGAAGTACGACGAAAATAGTGTACTCTTTAATTTCGTTATCCAGATTCTATAAAACCCCAAGGAGCTCAAATAGATGACATACCTTTATTTAGAGAAAATTTAGAAATTGTTTCAGATTAAGATATTATTGTTCATTGTTTTTGTAATTCATTATTTTGTATCAGACTTACATTAATCATCATAATGGACTTAATTATATCACAGTTGCCCAACATCAAAGTGCCGTTAAATACTGATCGAATTTATATATAGCTATTGACTGCTCCATGACATGTTCTTACTTACTTACTGACTTAAAGAGCATACAAATATGTTTCAGACCACCTACTGTCTTGGCAATTGCCAAGTGGTCCTTTTAATTGCACATTGCTCAGGGTTCAAATCACAGCTGTTAGTTGGCAGGTCTGGCAATTTCAGATGAAAGCTAGAATGTCTGAGGAATGTTTGCCAGCTGGCTCGACAGGCAATTGACAAAGGCAAAATAAATTATCATCATTGTGACATTTTCATTTGTCAACGTAATTTGCTTTGAATCGCATTTTTTTGCGATAGAACGCGCCCGCGCCTGAAAGCACACTACAATTTGAGACGAGGAATGTCCTTTTGTGCCTGGCTGGCAAGTGGGCCAACATTACAGGGGCCTTTGACAGTGGAATGATGTGTTTTCGTTTCGTTATGGCTGGTAAATAGCAGGGTGCCTTGAATATTGCTCTTATTATTGCCATATATATTTTTAATGTGAAAATATGATTTGATTTTATACATTTATTTCTTTGCATTTGTCGCTCGCCATCTGCAATTTATTGGAGCTGTTGCCAAGTCAAAAATATTCGATTTTGATTCCCTTTTGAGCTGTGCGTATATAGAGAACATAAATCGACTTATGTGCCTCATGTGAAAAATAACAAACGCAAAACAGCATACACACAAGTCTAGGGGCACAGGTTTAATATTAATGTTTGTGTGTCGCTGAAAATCCACTACATAATTTATTGACATGGCATTACAGTGTCCCTGGCAAGTACTGTGCGACGGGATGCCAAATGTTGCCCGTCCTTCACCTGCCTGCTAGAGTATCGTACCACATTTGTATCTGCCCTTCAATTTGCTTGTGTGCGGCAGGCTGGTGTGTGTGGTTTGTGCAATGATCAACTGCGTTGTCAAAGCAAATGCCTGTGGCGTCCGTCCATTGTATGCTCACAGCCTTTAAATGCTGCAATGGACATTTCGATGCATCTACAAAGCGTTTTTTTTTTAATTTATCCAATATATGTCATCGATTTGCGAAAGCAATTTGAATGCATATTATTATTAAAAAAATATCTCATAAAGATGGAGTGAATTAGTTTCTAACATGAATGAAATCAAACACAAAGTAATTTAAATTTATGCGTCAGCAGCTCGTAAATGCTTCTCAAAGTAATGTAGTTCATAAAAAATGTATAAAATACCATTAGCCAGAGTATATATATAATTTATTTAAATAGAAATGAATAATGATTAAAATCTTATCTGTTTGAAACACAAATGGTTCGATGTAAGAAATCGTAATCTATGTTAATTTATTTTAATTGTTGAAAGCTCATTTGTACCTGCTAGTCTCATTAGCACACACGCTCAAAGAAATATTATAATAATTATTTTAACATCCGCTTGTGCTCAGCGCGACGCTCCTCAATGAGTTTTTTCTTTTTTTCTTTTTTGGCCAAATTGTTTCGCATATAATTTACACATGTAATGAAATTTCTGTGGTTGTTCGTGCATGCAAAAACCTACCTAAGCACAGACCCTGGGCGCCAGATATTCGGCAATTTTTCATTCTTCATATTAATTATTTTTCATGCGGTATACGCACAAAAAAATGAGGCAAAAAAACAAAAGAAAAAGCCAAAACTTTGTGGTTTGCGCATAATTAAATTTGTACATTGGGAGTATTTAGCGAAAACAATGTATGAGATAGTTGTATGCTTCATAGTAATGCGTTTTGATTAGAAAATCGTTTTAAAATTGTTCCAGTTGTTGTGTTTTTGGTTTTGTTTGTATAGTTGGTATTTGCTTGTATTTTCATTTGCGTCGCGCTAAATGCGGTCACTGTTGACCGAACCCCTATTTGTGTGAATGTTTGTATCAGGAATATACACACATTCATCCATACACACAAAAAGCCGTACAAATCCTTCTGGGTGAGGATTGGTTTTTGAACATGTTCAACATTGTTTTAGCTGCTGTTGTTATTTTTGTAGCTGATGCTGTTTGTAGCAGTTTTTGTTGTTATTGTTGTTGTTGTTGTTGTTCTCACACATGCTCATAAAAGGGCACATAGACCGAAAATTGTTGCTTACTTTTTGCACACTTTGTGCTGTCACTTTTGCGGTCATACTTGTCTTGTTGTTGTTGCTCTTATACAGCCGTCCTAATGCAATTTGTCATTTTCAAATTTTAGTTCTCCAGCCTTTTTTGTAACCATAAATCAGAGTTGCTCTTAAATTGCAGTATGAATATAGTTTTGATGCAATAAATTTAAGCTCAAATTGTTTATTTACATGCTTACGAGATTGTTGAGAAATTGCTCGATCCTTCTTGGAGCTGGCTATTTTTGCCCAATTGCTTGGCTCACTTACGTTCACTCGATGCAGTCGATGCATTCACTGTGAATGAATAAATTCCAATTAATTCCTATATATGTGCACACATTTATTGGAATTTAAACTGAGTGCGCCCATTGACACTACGCTACAGGAGCCATTGTTTGCTTCCTCAGTGGCCACTTAAGTTAAATACGTTTTTATGAGTCATAAGCTCGAACTCCAAGTGCGAGAAGTAAGGGAGAATGAAATCCGTTTATGTTTTTGTTATTATTTTGTAAGGCACTTTTTCAGTATACTTTTATGCGTCAAGGCGCTCAAGTTGTGACTTTTCGCACATCCTTTTGCGCCATCCTTGCGACTGCATAATTTTCTGAAATATTTCGTCGGTTTTATTTTGCATGATTTACTCTGATTCCTACATGCACGTCCCAGCATCATATTCTCATCTGCGCGCTGGTCTCCAATGTTTCTTTGTTTGTGTGTGAGTGTATGTGTGTGTTGGCGGCTTTGCTCCGCTTTGGTAGTTTTATCACACACTTGACCCATAAATCAAACATGTGTAAATGTTTTCACTTTATATGCACACTCATACATATCAAATATTTTCGCCGCCTTCTGTGTAAATCATAAGAGTCGCAACAGAATCAGGAATGGAATGAGTACAAGGTCCTTTCTTCTCTTCCGTGCGTGTAAATGAAGCAGAGAGGCGTGTAAAATATGCCGCAAATAGCTATTTGCCTGTTATATTCTAGCTGTTGGGCTATTTCACTTCATATTTGCAGCTTTTTTCATTGTTGGCCGCTTGCCAATCCCTTTTGACGAGTGCCTGACATTCTGGCGGCTTGTCATTCTATTTGGTATGATTTTTATTGGCTTAGTGAGTGCGACCACTATAATAATACAATCGCGCAAGCTTATGAAGTTGCCTACATCAATTTCTGAATACCAAGGTTTATCTCGCTCTAAATATAAATCAGTTCGCATTGAAGCCTGAAATAATACTACAAATATTTGTAGAAGCAAACAAATTCAGCATTTCAACAGATTCTAAATATATTTGACTCGAAATTTAAATTTATTGACCAATTTTAATTAGCATGCTTATTGCATATCAGATTAATTTCACATCACAAATTGCAGATTGTGCGCTCATCTGAAAACCTATTAGTAAAGTAAATTTTGATATTGTGTTAATAAATATTATTGAACGAAAATTCATTGTAATAATATTTTAACGTATGATATTTAGTGAATGGAAATGTATATCAATTACATCAATTGATTCATTTTATAATCCATCACAGTGCTCGGTAAGTTGATTCTCAAAAAATGTGCAACGTCACCTCTTTTTCGTATCAATTGTAGCAGACGGTGCGGTAAAAGTTGTGTGCACTTTGCCCGATGACCTCCTGGTGGATGCAAGCAAATGACAACTGGGGAGGGGGAGAGGCAGATGAGAGTTTAGGTAACAACTTTTTCCATTTTATGCATGAAAG